ATCTTGATTATCGTCGTCCTGTAGACCATTGCTGACAGAGCGGTTAGCCATGGACGAGAACCGCAATTGTGCATTGAATCGCTTGAGGAAACACAGAAATAATGACATGGTGGTGGTGGTGATATGCCATGGGAGATTCCAATCAGAAATGGCAACATGATCGTGATCCAGCATGGAGTTGAGTCACAACACCGGGCCAGTTGAGAAAGAAAGCTAAAGCTGCACTAAGCTGCAGGCCTCTTCCAGAAGGCAACGCTAAGGCTGACATGAATGCGCAAATGTCTTCCACCCAATGCGACACAATCCATGAACAGCAAAGCACAAAAGTAAATGCCTCATGCGGCAATGGTGCTAGGACTGAGGGCTTTCAGGTAGACAAGGCTTTTTTCTTTTTTTTTTTCTGTTTCTTTTTCTTTCTACCACCTGACCCAAGACAAACAAGACAAAGAGACCGGGAGTTTCTTTATTTCAACGATCTTGCAAAGGTGCACATTCTAGACCAGCGGTGGGATTGAGCGAGACTCGAATTACTCACTTCTGGGTTTTCAGCAAGCCAGCATCTCCACGCAACTCAGATCCGTTTTGAGTAGTAGCCATGGTTTATGTTCCATTCGACACCGAAGAAATCCTCCACTTTGCACACGTCGATGATAAGAAGACAGCGCAATAGGTCACGTCGAGACTGCAAGTAGCGGATGGTGCGGGTGACCGGTCAAAGTGCCGAAGTTGAGGAAAAAAAAAAAAAAAAAGGAACTGTTCACACCGGCGGACAAATGTCGAGCTAAGGAAGTTTGCGGATAGATGGATCCGACCGGGATCGGATCGTACCAAGCGCAGGTGGAGGGATGGAGGGGTTGAGGCGGGATAACCGTCGACTATGGTTGTGGGTTAGAAAATATTCGGCCGGTTCATCAGAGAGCGTGTATGAAGGCGGGAGTAGAAAATGATAGAGAGGAAAAGAAGCCAAAGAAGTGTGATTCACAGGGGCAAAAGGAAGAAAACGGAAGCGATGAGTGGCAGTATTACTCAGAAACCAAGGATCGGGGCAATGTGAAGAAAAAAAAAAAAAAAAAAGCCAATGCAGTGATGTCTGTACCTTTAGGTTAAGGGTAAATGGGAGGGATCTCACACTTCCAATGTGTGGATGAGCGAACCTTGGGTTTAGTGTCAAACTCTGGGCCCATTTAAATTGGGCGAACGGCGGCGGACTGCGGGATTTCCCCAGAGAGAACAACAGGGAAGAGGCCGAAAAAGTGATGATAATAATAAAACTGAAAAAATAGAAATAAGAATAAGTAAAACGAGTCAATGACAATTGGAAGAGCTGAATGGGTGACAGCCCTATTGACTTGTACCCATAGGATGATATCGAAAAATAAAAGGGTGGCGTTTTAAGGCCGAAAGCTGAGCATCCAAGGCATAAGCTGCCGCTGATGCCGCTGAGTACTAGATGGCGGACAGTGAAGAGTGCGGTACTTAGCACTAAGTTAGGCAGCCTACCAGCACTAAGGTACCTGCTAAGCAACCAACGCGGGCCTCACTAATCAGAAGAAGTAATCAGAATCTTGTCGTGAGGGGGAGGGGAAACCACAAGAGAATTTGACGGGAAATTAGATATAGTATAAATAATGAAAATGAATTGAATAAGGGAAATCAAATTAAAATAAGATCACCAAATGAAGAAACCAAACCTTCTCCTTTTTCTCCTTTTCTTTTGTTTTTTCTTTCTTGAATATTTCTTTTGAGTAATACTAGATATTTTTTTTCCTTTTTTCTCTTTTTCCCTTTTCTTTTTTTTTTTTTTTAAAAAAAAAGGTGAAGCTCACCGTTGATTCTGACCGTGAAACGCTTCGGTCTACTATTGGTTCAATGTCCACATACTCTGTCTGGTCCCTTGGGCCTTAGGTAAGGTCAAAAATGGGAGGGGAAATAATAGTTTCGAATCAAAAAGAATTAAAAAAGAATTAATGCGAAAAGGGAAAAAGAGAAGCCTTACTCAGAGTACACCGAGTGGAGATGAATGGTGGTGCTGGACAAATAGAGAAGGATGTTATGGAACCACGGCGTGTGTTAAAGTCATCTCGGAACCACATTTCTCTGCGAACAAATTCTTGAGGATGGAGATGGCAATGCACTCAGGTCGGATGGTACTCTATGACTCTTAAATGACAACGAATCCATTTCTGGACCGCAAGAAAGCAGCTGAATATAAAAACCGAAAGGGGTCTAAGGTATGATAGTCGAAGGGGGAATAATGACAGCAAGAGAAGGTCGGATGATGAGCAGACTAGGGGGGCAGCAGTAACCGCATGTCGGGTGCTGCCATCTTTTGCCTCTTCAACCATGATTCGTGATCCGCCGTTCGCTTTGGCAAAACCGGGAAAATCTTCGACAGCCTGAGGTTGAAAGTCTGCACCGCGCGAACTATACCCAATGGGGCAATCAGCCAGTCGGTGACAACATTTGAATGTCTGGTTCGCACTTTAATGCCCTTGGAAGGTTGTCCCTTTTTCCTTTTGCTTTTCTTACTCCATCTTTTTTATTTATTTTTCTATTAATTTTTATTAATTGAAATCACTAAAAAAAAATTAAATTAGAATTTCACCTGTACCAACAACAGGTACAGCCCAAATTTCCAATATTCTAGAAAAAAGTAAAAGGAAAACCTTGCTTCATAATTCTATCTCCTTTTGTAGTATGTGTAGCATCCCTATAGTACGGGTATCAATGGACGAAATATCAGAGATAAGCCGATCGTTTCAAATATTTGCGTCTTATCTCCAAGACGGAGTACTCTGCTCCTCCTCCTCACGCTAAACCCTCAATATCCCTCATAGATGCATGTATCATTCCCAAAGATGTGAACTCGATCTCCGCCACCTCCTCCTTTTTCCCCATTCCTAACTGTCGGTCTAACCCAGTGGTAAGGTGGGGTTATACCCCGGCCCTCCAACCGGAAATGTCACTTGTCGCTATGTCGATGGTCGATCATTGATGGTTTATCGCGGTTAATGAATTGACTATCGATCACTTAAAATGACTCGGTGTTTAGGAATAACTGGTCATCCAGAGTGGCAAACAATCTCTCGTTTCAAATGTCAATGCATCCTTGGGTCCACGATGCCGTCGAGTCCACTTTACCGGATTTCCTCATTGCCTGCCTTATTCCGCACTATGCAGTTCCTGTGTATCTCGCCTTGAGTTCCCCCCCTTACTGCTTATGTCCAGATTCGAGCTTGCTTGACTCATCTCTCGACTTGCTTTCTAGAAGGGTCCGGCAACTGGGCGGCATGGGCTGAAACAATGTGCAGTCTTGTTGGCGGCAGTGCTGCTTTACAGCGAATCGCTTACGCATCCAGCCGCATCTCTATGTTGTACTAGAAGGAAACAAACATATTGTTACTTGAATGATTCACCAGCTCCTTGTTTTCTTTCTGTCAGGAGGTATGGTTGGAGTAATGTAGTGGGTACGATTAGCCCTAACAGCCATAAGGCATACACCGCCCTTCGTATTATAGTAGGAGTAATCCTTGGAAGCCCAACGGACTGGCCGAAACGCCATTCTACTTATTTACCTATTTTTGGTCTTGGTTGCTCCCCCATCAGGTTATAGCTGCTGCTCAGCATTGCCGTAAACTGTTCAAAGTTACACCAGGCCACTGCCGATGTACGCTTCAAGCGCCAGAGTCGAAATGCCGGTTAGACAGTAAGATCAGCCGGCCACCATTCTCCTGCCACATTCAAGGTGGCTTAAGCAGGAGGCGCATCTCCGAAAACTTGTCTTCAAGTCTCCGGAGATATTTTCGTAGTAGGCACTGATGATTTAATATTAAAAATAAAAATATATTCCGATGCCAAACGCCGAATTCCTCTACTGTAATTAATAAAATAATGCAACGATGTTGCTCCCCTCCCCTACCATTAGAGTTACGGCTATCTACCAGGAGTTATTTGGAAAAGATCTCCACTAATTGTACCTGGCTCAAGAAGAGCCAGCTCTCCCTTCACCCGCAATGGCCCGTCAATCAAATCTCATATTTTCCCCGGTCGGCCAAGGGAGGATCGTGCATCTGAGGCTACTTGGACGCAGTCAGTAGGTCGGTCACCTGCAAGCTGCAGCGTGGTGTCAGCGATCTACAGCATGCAGCATTCTTTTGTCACCAGAAGAGCTCCGAGGGCTTCCATAGGTCCACCACATTGACATTCTCCAGCCTCTTGAAATGGAGGACTGGCGGTGGGTGGAAACTTTACTCGGAAAGCAGCAGCTTTAGTCGGGTTACCATTGCGCGATGCGGATTCCCCTCCGTCGAGTTGCATTTGATGATGAGAAAATGCGGAGCACTCCTACCATCCGGGGCACACCGGTGGTGAGGAGGGGTTCCAGAATATCCATTCCACCGTCAATCCTGACATGTGAATCGCGAATAAAAGCAGGTCATCGACATTCGGTACGTCAGAGACGATGTCCGTGCATGCCTTATCGTGATTGTGAATCATCCGGCATGTTGCTTGGAGGCTTGATGAGAATGTTCCGATCCAAACCAGAACGCACTGCTCCCCACATAGACCTGTTTCGAATGAGCAAATGACCTGACCGAACCGAATTCTCCCTTCAGCTCGTAGACTGCTAAGACCAATTCTGGGTCTTACCATCCGAGATGGCTGGCAAGTTCAACAGATGACGTTCCCGAAAGGGGAGAGAGAAGAGGGACAAATGACATCATGCGGCAGGCGCCTAAGCCACAATCCACCTCCCGATCTCTACGGAGTAAGAGTTGCCAAGAAAAACCACTCAGTTTAGGGCTTCCGTGGTCGAAGAAATTTGGCCCTCCCCACGTGGCGCTGTGACGGGTAATCTTCAATCTGCCTCAGGCAACTACGCTTACGCACGTGACTTAATTCTCCCGGGTGCGGAGAAACCCGAACTCCGCTCATCACTGGCGCGCTCCCGGAAGGCACGCCCAAGGGCATCCTCATCCCGTACATTCTGTTTTTGGCTGTCGTTCCCCACTCCGAACAGCTGCTGTCGCGATGGCGAGGAAGCTTAGAGCGGCTGCACAGGCAGCACAACAGTCGCTGAGTATGTCCATCCCACCCATTGGTCTTTTTTACCCCATAACTCGATCTTACAAAAATCACACTCACGGGCGCGTCCACTGACAGCTCCGCAGGAAATGCTCCTCCTCCGCTCCCCGATGCCTCCGATGAGGAAATGGCTGAAGCGCCCCCGTCGCGCGGGTCTTCTCCCGCCATAGAAGATCCAGGTGATGCGTCCGATAAGGATCCCGATGTTGTCCCCGAACCCGACCCGCCACAGGAAGACGAGCCTGCCGCAGTCACCAATCCTCCATCGCGCGGCGATACCCCAACCCGTGGCCGTGTGTCCGCCATCCCGCGAAAACGACGTATCGGCCGTCCTCCGAAGAACCGCCCCCCAGACTGGGATCTGCCTGACGACGGTACGGCGCCGCCGCCGATTCATGTAAGCACGCCCGTGAAGAGGAGACGCGGTCGCCCTGCAGCTAGTGGCGGACGATGGGCTCGGAATCGGGGACCGTCGCATGTAACTCAGGTGCCAATTGATAAGGAGGGGAATATGATGGACGTCATTGATGATGAAGTGGCCCTGCCAGATGACCCTGAGGGTGAGACCAAAGTCGACAAGAACGGCGTTTTGAAGGGCGACCGAGAGTATCGAGTTCGTACGTTCACGATTCTTAATCGTGGTGAGAAGCATTACATGTTGTCGACAGAGCCAGCCCGATGTATCGGGTTCAGGGACTCCTACCTGTTTTTTCAGAAACACAAGCTCCTTTACAAGATTATCATTGATGACGACGCTAAGCGTGATCTTATTGAAAGAGAGATCATCCCTCATTCGTATAAGGGTCGAGCCATTGGTGTGGTAACCGCTCGGTCCGTGTTTAGGGAATTTGGCGCCAAAATCATCGTTGGTGGCAGGAAGGTTGTTGATGACTACAACGTCAAGGCAGCCAGGGAACGGGGGGATGTGGAAGGTGAACTCGCAGTGCCGGAGGATAAGCTCCCCCCTCCGGGAGAGCCATATAACAAGAATCAGTATGTGGCGTGGCACGGAGCTAGTAGCGTCTATCACACGCAGGCACCATCGGTTCCTCTGCCTACTGGCAAGGCTGTCGATTCTAAGAAACGGAAAGTGACTGTCACTGGCGATAACTGGATGCTTGAACATGCCCGAGAAGCTAGGTAAGTAACACCGTGAGCATGGTCGTTGGCCTACTAAAATGCTAACCATATGATAGCCATTACAACTCAATACTTTCGAACGTACGTCGCGAAAACCTTGGAGGTGTGTACGATATTCATACAAATGCTATGCAATACCCCAAAATCATGCAGCCCTCACACGCTCGTTGGGAGCGTCTACCACCTCCGGATCCTCGAGTAGCGACCAAGTTGACCAAGGAAATGTCGACTTTGAGTCTCACCAATGGAGCTGAAGAGGAGGAACCAACTACTGAAAGTGACGCTCAAGATGAGAAGACCGCCGAGGAAACGAGCAACAAAACGAGCAACGACTCTATTTTCTCAACAATTCCCTATGCGTTTTCTCGTCGTTTCGCCATCCACGATGTTCATTACGAAAGCCCACCGTATTCCAATATGGGCATTCCCGGGCCTGACGGTGACGTGCATGATCTCGGCTCAAACGGTATCATCAGCACTGCAAATCTATCATATCCTGAATTCGTGAGTCCCGAAATTCTGGCAGAACTACCTGCGGACTGCAAGGAAGCTCTTGTCGAGGCCGCTGCGCGCGAGTGGGAATGGAAGTCCATGTGGCATAGTGAGGTGGGCGACGGTGCTCGCACGACCCCGCTCAAGAGTTATGCCTGGTTTCCCTGACCTGGTCGTGGTCTTCCGGCTTGTCGATTAAATCCTTGAAGGACGGCCTCGGGACGTGCTGTTTAATTTCTTTCTATGTATGACACGTTGTGCTTGGGTTGGACCGGTTTTTATGGTTGGCATGAGAAAATGGGAGTTCTTCTGCGTTTGCTTCGGCGGTGTATTATGTTCCAATGTTTTTTCAATTAATGTCTCTTCCCCGATACCTCAGAGACAGTCGCAGGCAGGCTTGCCTTTATATGGATGTCATCTTAATGGCAGGTTAGACAATTCAATCAATTTTTTTCCAAGTGGCACAAGATAGTCCTTTCTATCTATTGTTATAGGGCCTATGAAAAACGATTAGTTTGAGATTATCTTAATATGCCCTCTGGCCTACGTTGACATCTGCCATGGTACGTATTAGTCCGAGAATTATATTGGGTTTAATTCAGGCAACTCATTCTAGAAGTTTAGTAGTAAATTCCTAAACAGACGCTAAGCTGAATACTATCATATCCGATAGATCTCTTACCAATGGGTGGGGGTACTTGTAACTCGCATACTGCGTACGTGATGGTCTGCAACTCATATTTATTTTGTCTCTCTTGACAGTACATTACGCTATTAGATTAGAGATTTTAAAATATGTATCTATCTTGGGTCATTCAAGTATTAATCATGATGAACTTCGTAATTCAATTAACCGACGCTTAATGATTGTATCGAATAGAATGGGCTAGCAAAGTGAGAAATGAAGACAACTCGGGAAAGAAAGAGTAAAAGAAAGGAAGTGGTTTATCCCATGGCCATCTCTGCGCGCAGCTTCTCCAGTTCTGCTTCCTCGTCTTCTTCCTCTTGTACCTTCGATTTGCCTTTGGCTGTAATTCAGAATCAGGTTAGATGTTTTGCTGCGTGGTATATTCACTTCAGATATGGTGGACTTACGTTCTCCGTTCGCCGCGGCCGGTAACCGATTGAGTTGATCTGCAACCGGTACTGTCCCTGTGTGAAGCATCCGCTCGTCCATAGCCTCCTGTTCCAGACCTTCGAGCTCGGCATCCAGCTCGGTCTCGTCCGCCTGCTCGCCAATCTGGGTGTTTGTAATAGCCTGTGCGATTTCCTCGCTGAGTTGGTGTTGTTCGCGGAGTTGATCCCTGTGTCCCCGTCAGTGGCGTTGGTTCCCAGAAGAGCCATAGGAGAAGATGGTATATCCAAGAGTGAAACACGCACATCGTCTCATCAACCTTATCAATAGTCAAGTTACCATGGATCTGCGTCATCGCCGCGCCAGCCTGCTTCATCGCGTTCAAAGTCTCCTGGTTGATATTCGCCGCCTCGATCGAATATATCTGTTGTTCTAGCTGGATGATTTGCGCCGTCGTCTGTTCGAGGTTCTTCTCGTGCACCTTCTTACGTCGCAGGGCAGACTTGGCCGCTTGATGATATCAGTTTCATGCACTCCGGCAACTGGGATACAATACAGCGATAAGGAAAAGGGAAATCCCCATACCGTTCTTATTTGTCGTCACGTTCTTCCTCGCCACGGCATCTTGCTCCTCCATCAGATTCTCTAGGTGCTTCTCGCGCTTCTGCAACATATCAAGCTGCTCCCGCAGCTTGAGGATCGCATCCTTAGGCGCATCCTTCCGCTTCTGGGCTGCCGAGCCGCCAAACCATGACCACATCTTGATAAAGCAATTTTAAGGATTATGTTGTGGTTTCGCTCCGGTTCAATTCCTGAAATGTATAGTTATAACCAGGGTATTCACTATCCAAGCCCGTATGGTCCTCGACGCTCGGGACTAGAAATCGGTAGAAAGTGGTGGAGTCAGGCTGGGAAGATAAATAGGCAGAAAGAGAGAGGGGCGGCGGTGGTCGAGTCCGGGCGGTGTTGTAGGCTGTCGCGAAATGCAATATATGGGACAATCGATCTCCGACAAACAACGAATAGATCTAGAGGATGTTTGCTTAGCGCAGAACAAATCAAGGCAACAATATTGGAGACGATTGGGAATTCACGATGGCGGATGAGATCCGTTTTCCCCCCTCCGTTTGACCCTATGACATACGCGCTAAGCCTATCGGAGACTGTTAGTCACGTGGGATAGTCTATTCCTGGTTTCTGTTTTGGGTTTAGTTGATCTTTAGGGACATTGACCCGGTGGGCATCTTAGATGCGTACTTACTTACTCTGGACTTGCTCCAGATTACGACGGCTTTTGATTCATGCCGGGGATTATGTCAGTTACGGTTCTATGAATTGAGGGATGAATGGCCCGCCTCCTTCCACGAGAGCTTTTCTCTCTAGCGTCCCTTCTCTTCCTACTGGTTTGAAGGTTCGGTTTCTTGGTTGGTGTGTAGATTGTCCATCATGGGATATATATATCTCAGGTCGTACATGCATAACAAAAAAGCTAACGAGTTGGTTAACGATAGCGTAAAGACTTATAATGTCGTTACCGGCCACCTAATCCTAGAACATAACTACCCCCGTTGTAAACCAACCCAGGAGCCACCCAGCATCCCCGTCGATGTCAACGCCGTTCTGGGAACGGTAACGGCGGACGAGTTGCGGGTTGGGGCGTGGGTTAATGTGCTCGGTTATGTGAGAAGAGTAGAGTCCTCGGTCTACGTGGAGGCAGTCATGGTATTCCGAGCTGGAGCAATTGCAGTGGGAGAGTACGAAAGGATCCTGCATAATTCATTGGAAGTGGATCGAAGGGTGCAGAGGCCTGAATAATATCTTCTTTCAATTGATAGGAATATGCAAAACAGACTGAAGTTGACTTTGACAAAGTGACATTTTCACTGTTTATCTAAATTGGACACACTATTCATTATGATTATCTTGAACACATATGCTTCGTTGCCGTACATGCGATATCGTATATGCGCCTTTTAAATCGAACCGGACGCCAAACATGGGAATAACTCGAACTTTTGGGAATATTATCGTCGAATGTAGAATATGCTGTTTTCTTTTTGTGTTGCTCTCTTCATGATTTCTCGGTGATACGAGGATGCTGCAGTTTAAACCTCCATCTTCTCCTTCTCGGCTGACTCTGCGTTCGCTTTCGCGTCCAGTCGTTGTTGGAGACGCTGTCGCTTCCCCTCCAGTCTTTTCTTGTCCTCCTGCATCCGCACAATCAAAGCACTCTTCCTGCGGATCTTGTATCCATACTTATAGAACACAAACGGAATCGGAATAATAGCCACCTCAAGCAGCCCAAGCAATGTCCCAGACCAGTTAGGCCCGATCCCAGCATAGAGATACGTACCCACCAAGGGCAAAACACCGCCCAGAATACTCCGAATGACGGAGTTACCTGCCATGGCAGACGCAGCGTACACTCCATAACTATACGACAGATAGTTTGACGCATAAATAAACACGCCCGTGTTTCCTGCGCCGAACGGTACTCCCGCGAGGATGGGCACAATCCAGTGGATGGACGCCGGAGCGCAGGTCCATGCGAACCAGAGTTCGCCGGCGGGGATTAGGATGGCGGAAATGCATACGATCGAGACCATGGCTTCTGGGGGCACTTTTCCGGTCTCAGGGTCGATCGTGTGGTTGTTGATCATGCGGCGGATGAAGGGTTCGCAGGCGATGGTGATGAGGCAGCCGATGCCGATGCCTAGGAAGGCGAGGCCTGAGAGTCCCAGGGACCAGCCGCGAATGTCGCGGAAGACGATGGGATAAGCGGTGAAGCAGAGGTATAGGATGCCGTAGACGATTGCGATGTAGATGTTCCAGAATATGCTGGAGTGCGTTGTTAGTTCTGTGGGCCTGCGAGATGTGATGTGAACGTAGGATATCTTACCAGATAGGTTCGGTGACAGCCATGACGAAGGGCCGTCCCAGATTCACTTTCAGGATCTCCCCTAGACTAGCCTTTTGGTCGTATCGGCTCCAGTAGGGATCGCCGGTCTCTTTGCGCATGCGGGCAGCTTTCTTCTGAAGTATAATGGGCCCATAGGTCTCTTTCATTATCAATGAGAAGACTAAAGCGACGCCGGATAGTATCAGCGCGATCCAATCCATCCAACGCCAGCCGAGATACTGCGTGACAAAGCCCCCAATAATGGGTCCCAGGACTAGGAGTTGGTTAGTTATACGCCATGTTGAGTAAGATTGCATGTTGATACGAACCTGGGCCATTCACGGGGCCAATACTCCAGATCGACATTGCGAGGGCTCGCTCTTCATCATTGACTAGATCTGACACCATTCCTGGCGCAGTTGAGATCATGACACTACCAAAGAAAGCCCCGATGAATCGTACAACGATGAGAGTAGCTACAGACTCCGCGCGCGCACATGGTATGATCAAAACCATGAAAACAAACAAGCAACCCACAGATACGGGCTTTCGACCGTACACCTCACTTAAGGGTGCCATAAACATAGAGCCAACAGCAAGGCCGATAAGGTATAGAGTAAGGCCTAAGGTAACAATAGTGCTTGAAGTTCCAAACTCAGCCGCGATGTCTGCGACGCCCGAGGTGTATGACGTGGAGTATAAGACACTGCTTACGGTTAGGCACGTCCATTTACTTCTCACAAACCGTAATGTATATCGGTGGAAAGACTTACACAATCAGAGTGTTCCAAGATAGAAACGCAATTCCCATCCCTTTGTACCTCAGCGACCAATTCTTGGGGTTCATCTGATCATTTTCATCCTCGAAGTCGACTTCATACCTCGGATCTGACGTTGCGTTAGTACCGATAGTGGTGGTCTTTCTGGCCAAAGAAGGCACCGATTGTCTCGAAGCTTGTGTGACAATTTGTTGTAGTTCTTCGGTATCCTCCGTGGAGGTAGACTCCGCAAGAGAATTGGTATCTGCTGGCGTGGCCTCCTGGGCGTGTCGAGGCCGTTTCTCGCAATCGGAAGGGTGATGCTGAGGGGAAGACATCCTGCTTGAGAATGTTTGCGACAGAAAATTGAACTCCTTGGAGCCCTATCCAATGAGCCACGCAGGGCAGAACCCTGATCTATATGGCTTTCTGCTGGAAGAATCGAGACGTAGGATATTAGGCGGGGATCTCGACAAGGTATATTAAACTCTTACACATGAACGAGAACATAGATTAAAGATAGGAAAGAGATAAAAAAAAAAAAAAAAAAAAACTATTGCCCTCGTACAATCCTGAGAGCTACGACTGCCCTTTGGTTCTTAGTAGAGCAAATAGTTTCACCTGGATGAGAGGCTATCTTAGGACAGCCTGTAACGAAGTAATAGAAGTAAAACACAGCACGCCCTCAGGAGAAAAGGACCAAAAATATCCAGACAGGGAAGGATTGACAATTTTATTTTTCACTGTAATGATTAGCGCCTGTGTTCCTTAATAATTATCTGGGTAGATGTGGGGCTCAAAGGCAAGTGCTGTTACTTAGTATATGGAGATAAGGCGTCGGTACATTTCCTTAGGGCACGAGAGAATGTGATCTATGCTAAATGTGGCATGATATACCAAGGGTATCGTACATAATGAACTTATAATCGTAGTTGCCAAGAATATTCGCAATCATGTTAACGTTGTCTGCTCGGGTATCTCTCATTCTCTTGCCGGCCAGAGTCCGAGGTCGAGCAATCGCCTCCACACATGTCCTCTACATAGACCTTCGGAGAAACGATTGATCTCTTACCGCTAGAGATCGACCTATCTAAGCAGACCCATGCATTTTTCATCTTGGAAAACTTGGTAGGTGTTGGCAAGCTGGGCTGACACTGTATCATGTATTGTGGAACGAATCCCGGGCCCCCATCCAGGAGCAGCTCATTTCCGAGGTCATTCCGAGTACGATGGTTTAGCGTCGTTTATGATCTAATTATGAGTGCTTACAGTCAGTTGTACGGAGTAGGTTCTAAGGTCTTGTCTGGTCCACTGAACCCTTAAGTTGGTGTTCTTCAATGCTTCAGCTTAAGCTCATTTACCCCATATCCCCGTACTCCAGACGGGGGAGGAGTCCATAAGGCCCCAGTCAGTGGACAGTGAATGAATGGATCGATCAATCAGTGATGAATAAATGGCGAGTCCCTCATCACTAAACTGCCAAGGTTAGGTCGACTCCACCAGGTCGTTACCGAAGAATGACTCATCAATTGGAGGTCTTTCGTCCACCTAAAAAACCACAACATTCGTTGTGACGAGGAGTTTTTGCCCAGTGAGCTTTAAGTGTCAGTTCCGGTTTACCGCTCGTGCCGGTTTGCCGATCACAGGGACAAAAGTCAAGAGGTGAAACGCCACTAAAAAGGGAAAGGAATGGAGACGATCGTGCTCAGAGTGAAGGTCTGGATCCATTGGGTATCCATGCGGGAAATGGGGGCTTTCGGCTATTAGCTCCGGAGACACGAGGGCGATAAGTGACTACTAAACTCTAAGGTAGAAGTTGACAGATACAATAGAGCTATCCGTATTGAGAGGAGATAGCGCTTTAAGTATAATTTTCATGAAAGAGCATAGGTTTGCCCTGGAGGCTGGTGGCTATTCAACTCAAGTGCCCCGTCAATGTGCACAGACTACGGTGGGTTACAAGTGAATAAACGAAACCCTGGAAATGTAAAATGTATGAGGTGCCCCGGCAAAGCCAAGGGTATGAAATATCTCCGACTCCCTGGAATATATATACTTAGGGTTCTGTGATTTCCTCCCCTTCTGGCAGCAGAAGTTCAAATAAGCTAGTATGGCCTTTTGATTATTGATCATACATGACTCGTCTGCAGCATCACGTGGGCCCCTCCTTAAAGCGGCAACAGTCTAGTTAGAGCGGAATTGGATTGCAGAAAACAAATCTTTCATAGTTCGAAAATCCCATAGATAGACAACCATACCGAATAAATATATTAGGGATACGATCCATGTTGTATTATTGGTTGTGTATGCAATTCATCGGACTATGCACGGTTAGCTGGAAAATCCGATGAGATCCCTGTTACTACGCAAATCGTTTGGTTGTTCTGCTGATAGCAAGATTCAACCTGGCGATCCACTTGATCCATCAAAACGATGAACTTGCGAGCTTCGAAGGCCTGCGATCACTGTCGTGCATCTAAGAAGCGATGCCGTCCACCATTGCCGTGTCAGAACTGTGTATCCGCTGGGGTACGATGTATAGTTCGAGAGAAGGCAAGGTACGGTATTTCTAGATGTGGCTCCTTTCCCTCCCTTTATAGTTCGCCGTACTTCATTGCCTTCATTCTGTGCATCTCTAATCTAGTACATTAGACCGTCACGAAGACGTAAACCTCGGGCGATGGACGAGGTCTTACCTGACAGCTCTACAGAGCAACGAGGCGCCAAGCCAAGTAGTAGCAGAGAGCGTACTCCAATTTCAAAGACTGATCCTGCAGACTATGTCAAGGAATTAGTATTCAACTACATCTACTCAACATATGGTTGGTAGTCATCTCCCTGTGACAAAGATCAATGCTTAAATAGTCGCGTAGATGTCGTCCTGAAATGCACCCTTGAAGAGCCGACAGCAGTCCCAGATGATAGCCAACGCAGCGTGGGCTTCAGTTCCCCGGAGTCTGTCTGCGTCGATGCTTCAACCATACATCAGCTCCTCTCAGTATCAGCAACGGAGTTTGTCGCGCGACTCTCTCCGGTGGAAGTGCCATACATAGAAACGCTCGCAAAAGATGTACTATCCCAAATCCCTTGCCACAAGAGCTACATGCCGATTCAGGACCTCGTCAACCTGAACATACCCCCCGATCGACTTGGTCTTCTTCTCTCCGCATTAGCGCTTTGTTGCATATATCCTAAACAGATCGATAGCAATGCTTCCGCATACTTCTTGGGCTCTCGCTATCTGCTCAATTATTGTTATGTGAAGCCTTCACTGGACCTTTGCATCGCATACTATTTGCAACATCTTTATCTCCTGAAAACAGGATCGGATAACCAGGACACAACCGCCCTTACTATGGCCATCCACACAGCCCACGACTTGAAGATAAATAAAGGGGGGTCCCCCGATCGTTGCACGCTACCAGCGAAGTTGTACCTGTTTTTGTATTTCCACGACCAGTGAGCACCTCCCCACTCGTCCCTATATACATACATAACCCAAGGGCAATCCTAAAACAAACCAACACCAGGTGCTGTGCTATGAGCAACAACACACCCCCTCACATCAAGACAACCGACTACACAACCAGCGTCTTCGACCACGTTCTCGAGGAAGAGCCCGATTTCCGCCCCTTATTCGACATCCTCGTAGCCAACGGCCAAGTCCTAGAAGCACTATACGGAAAACCCTGCGACCACAGCAACATATACCACCTCGAAGAACTCCTCGGATGTGTTTCCAAATCCGCCCGAAAACCAATGCAACCATTCCTCGGACTCGACGGATCCAACATGAACTACGAAGCCCCTGTGCAGATCCACATGTTCTGGTACGTCCATGCAAAACACAAACCAATCGCACTATCACTCACTCCCCCATCCTACTCCAACCCCCCCCAACATCTTGTAATACCTCATCACTAACAGAAAGAAATGAAAATAAAAGGGCAAGAATTACCCTCCGCGTGCACCGCCTCCCCCTAACAGAAGACTGGATCCCCTCAATGAGCATCTGCGTCCGCTCCTCCCAAATGATCCTCCTCCTCTACTTTCAAACCTACAATCCCTCAATGGCCCCCGGTGCCACCCAAAACCTGCACAACCCCTCCGCCAGCCTCCCTCTTCTCGCCATGGAGGGCCGCCTGCCCCTAACCTGGCGCCAGGTGAAGCGTATTATGACCTCCGCGTTCATCCTCATCTACGCGTACTGGCACGGCGAGGTCACCTTCGAGGAGGTTTGTCGGGGCACCGCTATGGCGCTGGTGCTGCATGAGTGTCAGCGTGTACGGTGGGGGAGGGAGTTGGATGGCGCGATGGCGGTTTTGAGGGATATTGCGGGGATTTGTGGGATGACTATTTTGCCAAATTTATCGAGTTTGTTGCCGGATGTTGATTTGGGAGTTTTGAGGGTTATTGCTGGGTAGGTACTTTAGGGGGTTGATTTGCTGGGGTGTGTTTTACGAATGTGGGTATTATAAGACGATATGATGATGTTCAATTGTTCGATTGAATATTCAATCTGATGCATATGATAATGCAATATCTGCTGCTAAAGATAACATAATAGATCCGAGACGGCTCAATCGGCCAGAATGATATAGAGCCCAAGTTTTGTCCTCAAGTAAAATAAGACCACCATCACCGCTATCCACCACAGAAAAGGATAAATTAAGCAAAAACATCCGTAGTATACCGCTCCTTGGTTTTCATATCATCAAAGAACTTCTCAACAGCCGTCTCCTCATCATCATCCGAAACAGGCTCGCCCTTCTCCTTTGCAATGCGACGAATCTCCTCCCGTCTTTCGAGGAACATACTCTTAATCGAATCCCGGACAGCATTGCCCACGCCGGGTGTACCACAGACATAGATCCTAGCCCCGCTTTCAAAGAGATCAATGAGCTCCTTCTTATCTTCCATCATGAGATCCTGCACGTGGGTGCCCTTTGACCCGTCGCTGGGACGGCTGTAAGCCCGTCTGACTTCCACGGCACCGATCTTCTCCCATTCGGCGAACTCGTCAGCGTGGATGTCGTCCTGGCCTTTGGTGCGGCAGCCGGCGTAGAGGATCGCCCTGGCGGGCTTTTCGGGCATGGAGCCGGAGCTGCCACGGCCGCGGATTTTCTCGGCGCGGTCCATCACGAAGCCGCGGAAAGGGGCGAGGCCGCTGCCGGCGCAGGCCATGATCATCGGGGTGCTGAGCTCGGTGGGGGGCTTGAAGCCGGTGTGGGAGGGGCGGACGGAGAGTTGGACGCGTTCGCCGGAGCGGAGTTCGGAGAGGTAGGTTGATGCTACGCCGAGGTACTCGTCATCTTGGGTGAGGGCGGCGAGGGATGGGGCTTTCAGGACGGAGAAGGTGATGGAGCATTCGGTGGGGTCGGCTAAGGGGGATGAGGAGATGGAGTACTGGCGGACACGCATGGGAGGGAGCATGGCGACGAAGTCTCCGATCGCGAGGTTGATGGAGGGGTATTGCAGCAGTAGGTCCATCACGCTGATGCGCTTCTGAGAGATCTCGGCGAACCGGGCTGAGTCGGAGGCGATCGCCTGTAGCTCGGCCTGGGTTTTGGGGTCTACGGCTGCGGCGTCGGCGAGGACTGCTAGGTCCCGCTTAGATGCGGGCTGGGAGAGTTCGACGTAGGTGGCGAACAGGTCGTAGGCGGAGACTTGAGTATCCATGGGGATGGAAATATGTTTCGAGGATGAGGGCGATGCCTTCTCGATGCGGAGCACGGCGTCCCAGGGAAGATCGAAACGGCTCATGACTTTGCGGACCACAGTGCTGGGGTTCACTGGGAGGACGGCCAGGTAGTCACCGCACTTGTACTGTGTGTCAGTAGGGAGCTTGAAGCGAATCGTCCGCTTGGCAGGCACACCGGCCTGAGTGAGGAGCGTGTTCTCCAGGACAAGGCCTTCTTGCAGTTGGAGGCCGAGGGTGGTTGCTCTGTGACCCGAGCTGACCTCTACATGGAAGGTGGATGACTTCTGGGAGCCCTGAGCGTTGGAACCGCCGAACTTCGCGGCAACGGCTGGCCAGAACGAAGCTTCACCCCAGGTATCGAAATCCGTGACAATATCAGCGTTGGCCGTGTCGGCCAGACCGATCTCGCAAAGTCTATTCCCGCCATTCTCGCCAACAAGGCGGTTAACTTCCTTGGGAATACGGTAGAAGGTTGACTGCCAATCATCTATATTCATACTCTGTTAGAGGGGTTACCTGCAAAATGAGGAGGTGAATGCACTTACGATGTCCACAGCCGAACACAGCATAATTAACGCCATCCAAGGGGTTGTCGCCCTTCAAAGCACTGAGCCACTCGAAGAAATGGGCGGCATTGTCTGGGGGCTGTCCTTCATACGATGCGGTGATGAAAACAACAGGCCCATTCTTGGGGATGCTATCCTTGGCTGAATCCAGCGAATCTACCTCGGCCGAGTAGCCGTAGCTAGTGGCATCATCGGCGAGGCGTCTTGCGAACGCCTCACAGGTTCCAGTGTTGCTACCGTAGTAAACATGCATAGGCTTCAAATCGGCGCCCTTCTTAGCGGCGCCTGACTTACCGTGACCAGCAGCTTGATCCGCGTGCTCGCTGCTGCTAGCGCTCAATGCTGTTCCTAGGTGCACAGCGTCCAAGCCCTCGCGAAGAGCAGCTCTCATATAGAAATGATTGGGCTTGATGGTGAGCGTCTGCTTAAGTTGAATGTTGTACGACGGATCATCCATCTGGAAGTTAAAGTTTTGCAACAACATCGCGATGACGAGGAGCGCTTCCTGCCAGGCAAATGGCCGACCGATACATGCTCGCATTCCGTTTCCGAAGGGTTTCCACGCGTGCTTAGGCAGCTTGTTGAAATGCTCATCCAGCATTCGCTCTGGCTTGAATTCCTCTGCATCAGGGCCGTACACCTTGGGATCACGTTGAATCTTGCCCAGCAAGAGAGCACATGGCTCGTCCTTGCCAAGAACATACTTTCCATTACCAAGGGTGACGGGGTCTTCGTGGTTCTTGGTTGGGTGAGGGCCGACTGAAATAGCGGGTGCAGTTGGGGTGAGTCGTAAAGTTTCACGCATGACAGCATTAATGTAAGGCAACTTTTGCAAGTCCTCAACGGTGATTTTGCGACGTCCAATGACTCTGTCCACTTCTTCCTGAGCTTTCTGATATGCCTGGGGATTCTTGAGCATGTTGTAGAAGGCGAACGAGAGCAAGCCAGAAGTGGTTTCATGTCCTATCCGGTGTTAGAGCAAACTCAATTCTTTCACGAATGTATACTCACCGGCAATCAGAAAAGTGATCATATTATCAATAATGGAATCATATGACATGCCCTTGCCGGTTTTCGGGTCACGGCCATTGATCAGAGCATTGAGCAAATCTTTCTTGTCCGTAGGATTTTCTTTGCGGGTATCAACAAGCTCCTTGCAAAGATTACGGAGGTACTCAATATCTTCCCAGTACTTGTTGTTATCCGCTGTAGGCAGGTTGTTGACCAAGCCTGGGCGACGGGCTCGGTCGCCTGCAGTCTTCAACATTCCAACCATTGCGTCCACAAAGGGATGCATTTCTTCGCTATAGAAAGAATTGAATCGGGTACCCATGGCACATAGGGCGATGGTATCTAATGTGAGGCGGGTAAAATCATCTGTGACCATGATTTTCTGCTTGGGCCCTTGTCGAGCCCACTTCATCACCAACTGTGTCGCAATGTCATGCATTTCTGTATTCGATGTTAGCCACTGCAGCAACCCCGTACCGCTTTCGATTATTTTTAAGGCAGAGATATACCGTCGAACATATTTTGAATACTAAGGGGCCCGAAGGCAGGCATCAAAACGCGATGCGCAATCTCCCAATTCTCCTCGCCCATATGGGCTGTGAACAAACCATCGTGGATACCGTGGCGAAGCTCACTGAGACCTGCCATAACCTTTTTGGCAAACCGCTCTTCATCGAACACCTCGGCTGCCAGCTCGTGGGAGCTGATCATGCATCGTGAGAATCCGAAGGTTGTTAACCGATAGATAGGACCTGTAAAGGATTAGTGGTCAAGTACTTCCGTACTGTCGCCATTGACCATACCATAAGTATCTGCCATCATTTCTAAGCTTCTTAGAGGGATTTCGCTCTCAATATCGAGGATATTTCCCATCAGAGGCACACCCCGCGGCCCCGGGATGGGGACGGGTTCTACCTTGGGCGTACTCATTGTGTGGAAGGTTTAATGTGAAGTGGGTGAGTTTCGTGTTTTCACAGACGATGAGGAGGAAGAAAGAGAGCTGGTGCGGGGCAATCGGTGGGTATTATAAGGTTTGGTTGGGTTTATGTTATGAGAGAGAAAACTGAAAGGAGCAGCTTTGCTGGGCAGTCTCCATGCTTTATAGTATTCGATCCGCTCTCTTGTATCAAACATAACCAAAAAGGTAAGTTTGCGTCGTCGCTGTGGCTCGGCATGTTCCATTCTGCGCCAATCGTAGAAAGGATAATTCTGGTATGGAGTCATCGACGTCACTATTGAAGCTGCCACGAAGGCAGGGAGACCGACCGAGTCGGGCACGGGAGGTCGGGATCGCCGATGTTGCATACAATCTTGGTCGTTGCTGTCGGATGTACGAGCGGATATACAGCAAAGTGTGGCGCTGCCCCACTACCCTCCCTTGCTCTCGTCTCCACCGTCTCAACGACCAAGTATGCAACTTAATCTTCTTAGGTCATGTCTCCGAGGAAAGATTGATTGATGTGCATTGTACTATCTATATATAGTCTCTAGTGATCTGGTTAGTATCACCAAGAACGGATATACTAATCATATAATCTTGGTCAACCGAGGGAGAACCACCACCCCAACAACTTGAAGCCATAATGCATAACTGCCCTAAAAGTCAGTTGACAATTGGCATTCCTGTCATTGGTCTACAATCACATGCTACGTGTATCACTTGAACTCTAAGAGCTACTTAGATCGTGGGTCTCCCTCCATCCCTGCTACACAGTACACTATGGATCTCCCTGTTGCCAGTACAGCCTACCATCCAGGCCTTCTGGAAGAGACCACAGCCCTAAATTTGGCACAGCCGTTGGAGCCTCACCGATTTCCGCGGTTCGATCGACGGAGTAGATCGCTTCTAAGAAGATCTGCCAGGAATTGCAAACCATATTTTAAAAATCCTTCTACCTGCCTATTGTTACTCCAGAGCAGATGTCATGCAGCATTGGCTAAGAATGTACGGAGTAGAAGACATATTCGCCTGACATGGCCTGTAGGCTACAAGGGCGTATGTAGTCGGAGTATGCTAGACTTCCTCCGTGAACTAATATCATTACACGATCTCTTAGCTCTTAGGCAACACTCTTTTAGTGAATATAGAGTAAGTCCAACTGATGGGTGGGGTATCAACTTGGATTCTAGAGCACAATGGTGTCGTTAGGAGGTACTACTAGCCTCTAGGTATGGACACCGTTACTACATTTTTCGCTTTCGACCTCGGCGTTCACGCCTTGACCAATGATCGCTTGTTTTTTAGACCAGCAACATTGATTAGTCATTCAGAGCCATAGACGGTTAGTCCAAGTTAAGTTACCAGTACCGTAAAACATTCGAAACCGCACAGCCCAGGGTGTGGCTTGAAAGGTTTCTATTTCCATCTCCATTTAGTAGTCCATCCTGTCTAATATCAAGCCTGAAAACTATCGTATATGAAGGATCCCATCCCAGGATGCAGATTCGTGCCCCTGCCCCTGCCAACGAAATCAGCTCACCATTCACAACGTAATCCGAGACCCATGCAACTTTCCAATGGCGAATGAAAATGGCTCGCTCTCTAACCGAAGGGGCCAGAGCTGGAACCGAATAGCGTCGGGGACTCCCCCGAGCGACTTAAATTGAGGTGCAGCGGCCACTAAAATGGTTTCGAACTTCCCTCCAGATCGTCTGCTCTGTTGGGGGCGTACATGCGACTTCCTTCAAAGTCGGTAGTCTGGCTAATATAATTGGGCTATGTATGAGAGTCAATTGATAGTCGCAGATGGAATCAGGCTAACAGGGATAACAGATATAGCGCTGAATTAGCGCCCCACACTGCGAACAAGACATTGGCTACTTCAAGGGACTACAGGGCTGAACAACCCGGTGTGATAGCACAATGTTGCTTATAATCCTGACAGCATGCATTGCTGTACTGCTCTACCTTTACCATGTCAATCGTGCTATATTGGCCGTTCCCGAGGAAGCTCGTCGTCTAAGCCCTCACCGCTGGACAGTCGATGAGGTCAAGGCTGCTTACGAAAAGGCTCTGGACTCTCCCATTGATGTAGCTAAAAGCCTTCCCCCAAAGCAATCTAGGCGCTATATCGTTGTTGGTGGATCGGGTACGTTTCAGACCTCACCGCAGATTACATCAAGAGCTCGATCAACCCTAGTCCTACGTGGTATCCTCGATTTGGCAACGACTAACCCGCCCCAGGACTCGTCGGAAACTGGATTGTATCGCACCTTATCATGCGTGGTGAAGACCCAGCCGCTATCCGTATCTTGGATCTCCAGACTCCCCGCCCCGAAGTTCTCGACCAGGGTGTCGCCTTTATCAAGACAAACATCACCGATGAGCAGGCCGTCCTGAATGCCTTCTCACAACCATGGGCCCCATCAGTCGCCGACTTGCCATTGACTGTTTTCCACAACGCCGCAGTGATCCGACCCGCAGAACGTCTCAAGGCTTTCCTGCCTCTGTGCCGCAAGGTCAACGTCGGGGGTACAGTGAACGTGCTCAACGCCGCCAAAAAATCCGGCGCAACCTGCATGATCGCAACGTCGTCCGGCTCTGTCTGTCTCCGCCGGTTCTCCTTCTGGATCGCTCCCTGGACGAAGACACCCGAATACCTAGTACAGGTCGTCAACGACTCAAACGAAGTACCCAAGAAGCACGACCATTTCTTCGGAAACTACGCCGTCGCCAAAGCCGAAGCAGAGAACATCGTCCGCTCCGCCGACGACCTCAAATCTAACTTCCGAACCGGCTGCATCCGCCCCGTAAATGGAATCTACGGTGTCTCGGACACCGCCGGGAGCGTCACAGGAAACTATCTCCGTAGCAAAGGTGCCCCGAGGTAAGATCCAACTCCAACTTAACGACCCCCTCCCGGCTCCCATCACAAAATAAAACTAAACCAAAAGCTAAACCCAATAGCTGGACCTACGGCGTCATCCACAGTTTCGTGAATGCCGAAAACGTCTCTATCGCCCATCTCCTCTACGAGCAGCGTCTTCTCGAACACACAAATAGCCCCTCCACGCTCCCAAACATCGGCGGACAGGCCTTCGCCGTCACAGACCCCAACCCGCCGGTCCCCTTCGAAGACATCTACCTTCTCCTCACGACATTGGCAAAGACACCTGTCGCCTTCCCCCGCGTTCCCGTTATTCCATTCATTCTGATGTCTTATCCACTTGAATGGTATGCCCTCGTGCAGCAGCAGTATCTCCCCTGGCTTCCGAAGGTCACAGGAGAGCTTGCTCAGCTGCAGCCGGGCCTCTTCGCTATCGCCAGCGCGCATGTGATTGGTGATGATTCGCGTGCGCGGATGTCTCCTGAGAAGGGTGGGCTTGGATATAACCCGCCGATTACTACGTTGGATGGGATGTGTAGGGAGGTCAAGGCGTGGAATAAGGAGGCGGATATGAAATCTTCTTCTTGAAGGTTGGGGCTGTTGATGTCTGATGTAGTGGATTTTCTTTCACATGGTAGTTCTCATTGGAACTACGTGTGATATATGTGTATGAGATGGGCTATATACGTGATCGATGTATATATTACTATGCTTCTTTGCTATTAGACTAGAAAGACCGATTGGTGGTCGTTTGAGTCTTGTACTATAAAATATATTTAACACAATGATCGCTTCCGGAAAGAAAGAAAAATTTCAATTTCTCATTCTGCATGTCCTAATCATACTCGTAAATAACCCTCTCCTCACACCACCAGAAAACCCCCCATCAAGAAAACTACAACACTACAACACTACAGCCTAGCAAGATTAACAACCTCCCCAGGAGCATGATATGTCGGGACCCTCATCTCCAGCGCCGCACCAGAGTACCCCAGATCCTCTGCAGTGAGGACAGCACACTTCTCCCCGATCAAAAGGGCAGTCTGTATCCTCGTTAGCAAAACCCATCTAAAGAGAAGAAAGAGGAGGTATAAAGGGAAAAAAAAAAAAAAAAACAAAAAGCAAACTTACACTAAAAGTATTACACCCAACATTATCCGGACAGATCGACAAATCACAGACCTTAAGGCCCTTGACTCCGTGAACATTAAGACGTTCATCGACGACACCTCCATGCTTGACGATCGAGTTGCCTTCTCTTGGCGCCATGCTACAAGTTCCGAGGGAGTGCCAGGTTGTTTCGACGTGGCGTTGGACTACATTTGTTTTTTACTGTTAGCAGGGAAGGGAAGGGGTGCTAATAGATGTGGAGGTTTGGGGTATGGAACTTTAGGTATACGTACCCCATTTCTCGATGTGTTCGATGTCCTTTTTGCTATATTTGATGGGTTCCCGGGTCTCTTGCTTGTTGGAGTTGAGGTAGGTTTCTGTGGGGGATTGGCCTGGTTCGAGGGGTTGGGACCATGATCCTGTTTTTCCATTGTTAGTTTGGTGCGTGAATGGTATCTTGGAGAAGGGTGTGTTAATGCGTACCGTGCTGGATACCGGCGGAGATGTGGTTTGGACCGGCGTATGCCTTTGTTGTGGCTAGGTCGAGGTCGAATGCTCGGGCCGCAGAGTCGAAGGCGAAGTGTGGGTGCATGCCGGTTACTTCGCCTGCGTAGGCGCTCATGCGGCGGGCAGTCTCGCGCGATTTGATGTAGCCCCAGACCATGGGGGCCATGTCGCGCTTGTCGTTCATGAAGCCGGCATCGAAGTCGGGGGCGTCGTAGGGGTCGGCGGATTGGATGTGGGTGAAGCCGCGGGAGAATGGATATTCCTGGGATTATATTAGGCGACTTACTTAGAGATTGATGCATGGGGAGGGTAAGATGGCGTACCAGGAAGTGGAACATGGTGAAGAATTTGCCCGGGGGCATGAGCATGTGGTCGCCGAACCAGCTGTTACCGGTTAGTTAGAGAAGATAGAGTTATCAATATGTTTATGAGTGTGATTTCTCACCCGGCAATGATGGAGTAGTGCATAACAGGCTTATCAGGCTTGTTCTTGAAATAGCTCTCCCAGCCGCTGGTAAACTCTGGGGTAGGCCAGCTCTTCATTTCTTCCAGTTCCTCTGGTGTAGGCCTGATTTTCACGCCGGCGTCGATGCCGTTCGTGGCCAGTGGACCTGTGCCTTTGAGATTCCACTCCTCGTAGACCTTTTTCTGCACTTCGGGGTCACCGCGAACGAAGTCATCGAAGGATTCAACGTCCGGCTTAGCCCTGTAGACAGAGAAGGTAAGGTAGTGGTCCTGGAAGTTGCGGCCCACGCCTGGAAGGTTAACCAGGGGCTTGACGCCTGCTTTCCGGAGCTTCTCAGGTTCACCGATTCCAGATCTTTGCAGGATAAGAGGCGAACTGAGTGTGCCGCTGCTGACAATGATTTGCTTACGAGCTCGGAAGATCTTGCGTGGTGGGTTACGACCGTCTAAGGGCTTGGTGGGAATGGTCGCGACGCCCACAGCTCGGCCATCTTCGATGATGACCTTGTCCACCTTTGTGTTGCACTTGAGGTGGAGATTGGTGTACTTGGCTCTTGTGCTGTGGACATAGGCGTGTGCAGCATCGCTACGGCGGCCTAATGTTCAAATATCGTTAGCTGTAACTAGCTATCACTGGAAGATTGCCTTTACCGGTATCACGGTTGATCCATTTCAACCAGTGTTCAGCTCCATGTCTACAAAGCTGTTAGTACTGAACTTGGGCTAGCAATGTCATGCAAGTCATACCCAGTCTTCAAGTCCTGTAGGTCATCCGTGGCCGGAATACCCTGCGACTCGGCTGCACGCAGGAAGTCCTGCATGATAGGATACGTATAATTCCCGAAAGAGACCTTAATAGGTCCATCAAAACCATGCAGGTCTCTGTTATTGCATGCGCGTTGATACGTCTCATGCTTCTTCATCAGGGGAATGAGTTCCTTGGTCGTCCATCCCTTTGCCTGGAAATCGTCATAGTCTGAGGCCGATGCTCTCGTATACATCTGGAACAAGTTAACCCTTCATAGACTAGGATTGGTAGTGTCATGTAAGTACCATGAAGTTGATCGAGCTACCTCCCCCGAGGATATTGGCACAAGGGACGATAGCCCGACGTCCATCAAGCCATTCTGATGGACGAGAGTAGTAGAAGGAAGCTGTCTTTGAGTCCAGCTTCATGTTCCGGGGGTAGATGCCCGGGCGATAGACCCTATACGGGTCAATGGAAACCCCCTTTGGTGTACATGAGGTGACCTCTTAGCTTACCATGGGTTGTTCAGGTTGTCTTCGCCTGCCTCGATCAGCAATACCTGGAGATTGTGATCGAGGTTGGCCAGACGGCCTGCTGGGACACACCCAGAGCTCCCGCCACCACAGATGATGATGTCGACCTCGTCTGGGATGGTCATTGTTGCAATAATATCTTGATACTTGGTTCGCTATCAACAAAGTAGAATATTGAGATCTTACAAGGATTGTTATGAGGGAGATATACCTCCTGAGGGGAATCCTGGGAATTTTCGCTGAGACTTATATGTTCAGCCGAGACCCCGCAAGTGTTGGTTCAAGTACATGGGTCGTTATCAGCTTTCAGGGCTCCTGCTCTGCATTGAATCTTCTCTTGTCCTTTTCTGTATGGTCAATTCCCCGCACCGCAAAAGTACGACGCGTATAAGGGCCCAAATTTTGGACTATCAGAGGGTGATTGCTGGGGCCAAGAGACATCCAAGCACAGCAGGATCGATCAATGAGAACGGTGAATTAGATTTGAGAGTTATAATATGTCGTCTACTACAATTCCCCGCACACCAAGACTACTTGTGCTACCAACAATGGTTGGATATTTATCCGGCGAGATCCAATGTGAAACTAGTGATGAACGGCACCCATTGTCCGAGGTGGGGAATAGTTGAGCTTGGACGAAGAGAAAGAGGTTCAAAGATAAGACAGGCAGTGATTCATATTGTATTACTGCATGAAGTGCTTTCCTACATCCAGATAATCCCTCCGACATCAGAAATCGATCGCGATAGGAAACCCATATGGAAAAGCCGGGTCATGGATCTTCCGCGAGAGCAATACAATGAGCTGTCCGATCGCAGAATCAATAGCTTGAGACATTCGACACATTGAATTTGCGAGAAAAAGAAACAGGAAAGTGGCGTCCGACTGTGCGACGATATGGTCCCGTGTGGCGGCAGACACGAATCAGTTCCATGTAAGATCTCGACCGTAAATGAATAGGAAAGTTTAGCACTAGCGTTGAGCGCGAGGCGGCCGAGTGTGGGGAAAGGAACCTTGAAGCTAAAAGTGAAGCTAAAGGTCATTACTCTTTCCAGGATTTCCCCGCACAAGATCCTCAGAATGCTGTAGTGGCCGACGCCTACCACCAGATCCCTTTCAACCGTTGCAAATCCCGAGCGGAGATGATTCACGCTAATGCACTCGATGAGTTTTTCCATCCATTGCTACCCCGGACTCGTTTCTTGGCTTTCAAAGGGAGACCCACATGTCTCTGGACTCGTGGGATTTGATAGATGGACGCTGTTCTAGAAACCTTTGCCTGCAAAGTTCGGACTTGACAGCATCAACAAAATGAAAGGAAGACGATGCCACTAAATATAGTAGCCAGTCAGGTGCAAGGGTATGAGAATCCTAAAGCAAAAGGAGGGCCGAGTCAAGGAGAATCGGCCATCTGGACATAGGAGTAGCTTGGCTGTGATAATATGATGTGGCCTCTGGGCCCGGCGCATCCGGGCCCCGCATCAGGAACTGCAGGGAATCCTCAAAGTAGACTAAGAAACGCAACTACCGAGCATGCTGTTGGGCAAGCTGACGTCGCTGCTCCAGGATTTGCATGCGCAGATTCTCCGAAGCCAACTCAACATCGAGAATCGCACCAACGCCTCTTTTCCATGTTTCTTCCAACCCCGCAAGCTCTCCTTTGCTAGACTCTTGAGCGATCTTCCTTTGCTTGTTCACCGTCTCCGCAGCTTCCTTGGTTTCGGCCAATTCCTTCTCAAGTCCTCGTAAGACATCCTCCAGTTGAGAATTTCCAATCAGCCACGCGTTTTTGCCATTCTCTTCCAGGAGCGTCAGATTATCCCGCCTCATAGACAAATGGGAACTGGCCGTGTAGGCCTTCTGCAAGGCTTGGCGCCATTCGTCAAGATTGGGGGTCGCATTTGGTCCCGCTTCAGATGATCTGGCAGGTGGCTCAGGGGCCTCATAGCGCGAAAGATCAATTCCACCGGTCAAGGGCAATCCAGCAGCCTTCCGTTCGACCTCCTGCTGCATGAGGGGGGAAAACTGGGGTTCGGGGAAAGCGGGGATCAAAGGATGAATTGTCGACGAATAGTCAGCAGGAAGCTCTGAGGCGATGAGCTTCTGGGCATTAGCTCGAGCCTGGGCGGAAGGTTCCGCATCGATATCTAAGGAAGAGTTGATTGTTAGAAGGAGGGAGTTCGCTGGTAGGGAGGAGGCGTACAAGGGAGAGAGTCATGGGACTCATTGATGAGAGGCATATTGAACTAGCTGGATAGGGGAGGTAGGCGATCTGAATGAACTGCCGTTGAAACTCAAACTTGAATGAGAAGCTCTCTGTCGAGGAGTAATGGCTGGATGTTATAGATGAGGTTTGAGGTTCATGCCAACCTTCATCTTTTTCTGCCGAGCGGTGAACCAACAGCTCCCCCTAACGGATGAGTAATCGGTGCCCTAACATCGGTCATGATTTGCCAACTTTTAGGGATTTTAAAGACGAGTAGAAAGGGTAATTTAAAGGCGATGATTATTGTCGTCTTATTAGAAACCGGGTAGGCATATTAGAAGTTCCAGAATATTTTGTGATCTATATATTTGGAGTGTGATGGTATGAAGGATTTTGGACAAGTATTTACTAAACTGGCAAATAGTTCCGAAGTACACGTTAGGAAGGTGAGAAAGGTCCCCCTTTCCTTTTTATCTACTGGAAGGAAAAGTCGGTTTGAGGAGAATGTATAGAGGGATACCATTTTTGGGACTGGCTATTTATTCTTCAAGAATGTACAGGCACTTGATGGTAGAAGGTGTACATGCACCGTTTAGCTTGACGAAGACAATCCTTCCACCACCCGCCACGAAGTCCACACTTTGTAATGATATTTGTCTGGTCTTCAAATCCAAACTGACTACCATAGGCCTTGATATTCATGGGATGGTTTAAAAAGCAGTGACTTCCTTTGGCATAAATTGCAATACTGAATCATCATCGGATGACTTCCTAACTGGCGCGCCTGTAAAACAATTATACTAACCATCGTTAATTATCCTGGCTCATCGATATACACTGGAGTAAATTAAAAAGAAGCTTGTTTCCTAAATGCCTCCACTAACCAAAGTATTTACACCAGCCAGCATGTAGAGAAGTGTGCAGGCCTAAGCTATAGAATCCCAAGCTCTGATGAGAGCTACGTATTAACATTAGTGACATGCAACTCTAATCCAGTTGCTTCAGGGAAGGCAATGGATGAAGATGCGATGTCTACACCCCCGAGTCCAAAAAGTTCAGACTTATAGTGCTTAGTTTGTTGCCACAGTGAACAAGCCACTTATTCCTTCGAAACCCCCGATGTCACCTTTGACGGTCTTGAAATCTCCATAGTAATGCAGGCGATAGGTTCCGTCCTTGAGGGAGGTGGGGTTCCCAACGTTATAATAGTCATCTTCTATCTGCCACTGGATTGTCACCTCGCTATGGCCAAGAACCGTGTTCGTTCTCTTCCAGGTGTAAACAAGGTTCCAATCTCGGTCAGTACGAACAACCTCCCAGGTGTCAGTTCCGGGTTTCTGTCGCTCAACTGCCGCGAATGTGGATTCTTGGCGTAGATTGTTCCGAGGGTTAGCTCCAACAAAGGTGGCATTCACAGTATCACCAGGTCCATACGTGGCATTGTCGACGGACGAAATGACATCACCGAACGTTTTGCCGATAGGGCTACCATCGTACAAGACGCCAGGGATAAATGATAGAGACTTATCCGTATTAATAGGAGGTTTCACTTTGGAGTCTAGTGCTGGCAAGCTGGAGCTGTCGCCGAGATATGGAAGGTATGTGAGTGTGAGGTTGATATATGCCGCGAGAGTGTTGGGACCGTAAAGAGTCGAGGCACCCTCATAGCGTTGTACATGGTATTCCTCCTCGGTTGCTACGTAATGGGCGTAGCTATTTGATGGAGCACCCAATACCACCAAGGGATTTGCCACCGAAAGCACGTCTTTCGCGGATTTTGCGATGGCTTCTTTCCAGCGCCGTCCAGACATGGTTGTGGCCTCACTGGTTGAGATGATGATAAACAGCTGACCGACCCTCAAAACCTGAATATCAACAATATTCGGAGTCCATGCATACGGCTGCGTTACTGCTCCCACATCTAAAAGGATTTCTTTCGGCGCTTGGCACGCTTTCTGCTCCTTGGAGGGTTGGTGAATGAAGGCACGAGCAGCGTACCATAATGGATTTTTCTCTGCTGGCCCACTGCTGTTTTGTGTGAAATCAAACATGCCCGGTCCATCAGTAGTACCAGCAGCAAACGAGAAGCCGAGAGCTGCCGAGCATGTCTTCAGAGTGCTTGAATTAAATGGCGAGGTAAAGGTGTAATCGGAGAGATCTTGGTACACGTGGAAGGCGTGGACATCAGAGCTCTTGAGAATCCGAGTGGGATTAGAGTCCAACTGGGTATAGAGTTTCCTGGCAGCTTCATATTGAAGCTTCCCGATTTCGAAACAGCTTTTGGCACCATTGTCCTTTTCACGGAAGAAGGGGCCACGGCCACGACATTTTTCCATTGTACCACCACATGTGCTGTCTTCATATCGGCACTTCTGCCCAGAGCCATCTTCACACCATGCTCCCAAGACGTTCGGACTCGTGTCTCCGACATTTGATTGGGAAAAGCCCGCAACGAAATCGTCAGCGAAGGTTTTGTCGGCCTTGACACTTCTTTCAAAAAGCCATGCTGCGACTCCTTTGTTGTCACCAGTTACCAATGTATTGTTGTTATACATGGAAGTGCCATGCACTGGGAAGAATGTCAGAACGGCCGTCGTTTTATTGTCCGTTGCTCTGTCGAACCTCAGAAGCGTCATGGTCTTGTCCACGCTGTCTGAGTATCGTGCTTTCTCTTCTTCCGGGTTGTGATCGTAACTATACGGGCTTCTGTTGATGTTCGCATCTCCAATGTCTATGGAGCCAAAGCTCAGGCGTCCAGGCGCAATACTTTGATGGGCTCGTTTGATAGAAAGCAGGACGCCATCGACGATCGCCTGATAGCTTTGCTTGTCAAAGCCCTTATTCGGAATCTGAGGGAGAAGATAGTTCATCCACGCACCCGGCCCTGAGTGGGAGTGGGTTCCTGTAAAGGCTACATTGTGCTCTCCATAGTCTGCAAATTCACTGCCAAGGCCAGCAAGGCCTTCGAGGACTCCATGTCGCACAGCAGTGTCACCTGTCAGCGAATCTATAATTAGATAGATGAAGGTGTCTTTTGGGCGGTTGGGATTTGCGACTATGAAAGCACGAGAGTAGATTCTCTGTCGTAGGCCAGTTCCAATCTGGTCCAAGCTGGCGTAGCCGCCAAATCCGATCTCGACAACAGGCCTGGTTCAAAGATGTTAGTGAAATTATTTGAGGTATTACCTTGAACAAGACAAAGGATCAAGTGATCAAGGGGTGGACGGGAAATAAGGGGGAAGGGATACCCAGTAATGTCCGCTCTACCAGCACCTAATAGGAAAACGCTGTCATCGGACGCGAATTCAGTGTTCCTATCGGCCCATTTATACCTGCTATCGACAATGGGCGGTTGGTTGGAATCCGATATGACGGAAAACAGCAACAACAGGAATAGCGCTGCTATAAAGGTTCCAGAGACTACAACACCTAGCCTCGCATTCGCCATGTTGAAGATGTTATGGTTGAAATCAAAGACAAAGGGTTACGACATTAGGAAGCGTGCGCAGGCGAAGAGAATATCGGACCTTTTTATTCGAATATCCCTGTGAATCGCTTCAAGCCGAGGCGAATCGATCACTCTGCATGCGCATAACCGAGTATAGAAATAAGACAAGTGATCACAAATCAATTTTCAGATGCAACCCTCCGACAGGAAGGGGACGAAATAGTGCGATTGGTGTAGAGGTGAAGGAAGGTGACATCGTCTGTCCCTGGTTTCGATGATGACTTACCGGCCCTAAACTGAATTGGGCACGTCCTCTCCATCCCCCGCTTTCTTTGAACCCTAAGTATGGAGTAGTTGACAGGCATAAGGCGACAGCGCATGACAAAAGCAATGATGAACATTGTGATAGAGCATTCCGTAGGGTGGGGATGGAGCCATCTCTAACCCTTCCGAGGCTAGTTCTCGTTTAGTGACTCCATACTAGTCAAAGGGTCCATCCGTTCACTGCCGATCCTCCAAAGGTCAATTGAGTGGTGGGCCAAGACGGCACCCCCCAGAGCTTGTTCCTGGGGAATGTCGTGATTGTCTCTGAGCACTGGAAAAGAACAATCTTTAAGAGATTCAAAAGAGTGGAATTGTGCTTGTATTTGTAGTGTGGTTGAATTCTATACAGAATAGATATCCTTAAGTAGCTGGACTCATCTGATGTGAGGGACATGTCACATAGCTGCAAAGAATAGCAAAAAGCCCCTTTTTCTTCATTTTCCTTTTTTCCTCCTTGCTTTTTCCATCTTCTTTTCTTTTTTCCACTTTCATTTTTCGACAATTGTTTCGAAGTACTGTGTTGATAAATAGTCAGAACGAATCCGGTAACGATTCCCTGACATAACTTTTGACAAGTCGCTCCTTGCATCTTGCATAGGCTTCATGATTTATGCACATAAGAATATGTAGTCCGAAGCAAGTACCGGAAATAAAATGGAAAAAAAAAAAAAAAAAAAAAGACTTACTCCCTTACAAAAGGCTATCTTGACATGGGTGTAACATATATGATAAGTAATGGGAAATTCACGACCATGAGCTTGGTCTTATTGGTAAGTACTAGCAGAACACAGCTTAGCTGGCAAAAATAACGCGATAGTACTTCGTGATGCCATTTCAAGTCTAATGATTCGTCTTTACTAGAATGGTAGTTCTAGGGAAAGTTCATCGTTTACCACACTACATAGTATGTTATTTGCATGCTGTCGAGGCAATAAGGATTCTGAAACTATCTCGCATTTTGGCAACCATCTACCATTGTGCTTATCTAGAAAGGTCTTAGAGAATCTCAGCAGCCAACAGCCTTACACACCGAGCAGTATACGAAAACTAGCTCAGAGTGGACTTCCCAAAGCCTCTATAATACGATCGTCATATAGCTCCACCCCTAAATATAAGACGATGCAATCTTAGCTGGAACTAATCCAATAAGAAACTGAGAGGATATGATGTCTTTCAGTAATTTGTCTGTGTGTGGGGTGAAAGTCCACTTGACAGGTGGGAAAATCTCCGCAATTATTTACTTGAGTTATAATAGGGTTTGCTCTGACATTGTTGAAAAACGATATGGCTTAACTCACTAGAGAGTATATTGAAATTGATATTTGTATATCCTCATGAGAGTTGATCTTGTCATCTAACGTATACATAAACAGACATGACGTACAAATCATATACCGACCTAACAAAGTAACTCATAGAAACCAATCCTAAACCCGACAAAGTCTTCTATTCTCCGTCGGCAACCCATCATCTGTAACAACCCTCCACTCCTCACTCCCAACAGCAGTAGCAGCCCAAAACACATCCCCAGGATCTACCTCCCGCTTCAACTTCAAATGCCTCCCATAATTCTCCCCGTAAATTGCCTGCTGGAAGTCTGGTTCCATGCGATCACTCTCCCCCAGATACGACCCAGCGCCGGGACTAACATCGCACCAGCGCTGCATGTGCCCGTAAGTGAAATTGTGCCGAGCAGCAGCGATCTCCTGCGCCGTCGCGTTGGGACTCCAGTTTACGCTGGACAGAGCGTGCATGACTGTCCGGCGCCAGGCGGGGTTGACTGCGTTGTCCGGGTTTCTGCCTCGGGGTGCCATGTTGAAGGCAATGAGGATCAGGCCTGCTTCGGAAGAGGCTTTGATGGCGTCGAAGGTTGCGTTTAAGCGGGCAGGATCTTCCCAGTTGGTTTTGGGGAAGAGGCGCGAGCCCGTTGCTACGTGGGTCTTCTCGACGACTTCTAGTGGGAAGGAAGCGTTCCAGGCTGAGTAGAAGTTGTCGAAGTATTGGGTCTTTGGGGTGAAGGTTATTCCTACTTGGTGTAGTTGTTGGAACCAGGGTTCTAGGAGTGCTTCTGTCTCTGCGATGGTCTTGTTCGGGGCAAAGAATGGTTGCATTAGGAAGGTTAGCTCACCGTTAGAGTGGATAATAAAGAAATACGAGTAGATGTCTGCGTCTGAGTGCTCGATGAATAGGTCCAGGTAAGCGCGAAATCCAGCCCAGAAATCGTCGTGTGTGATATTGCTCTTTGCCCCAGTAGACCAGGTGAAGGTTGACGTTGTAACTGGGATGGTAGGGTACGCTTTGATGGTGACTGATGTGACGACACCGAAGGTGCTGCCTCCGCCGCCTCGTAGCACCCAGAAGAGTTCTGTGTTCTCGGTGAAGGAGGCTGTGACGAATCGTCCGTCAGGGAGTACTACTTCCATTGAGAGAACCTCCCAGCAGGGTGGCAGCGGGTGGAGAGAACGATCGACTGTGGCTGGAGGGGGGGGGGGGGCGAGATCGGGGGATCTATATGCTTTGAGAGATACTTTAAAGCGCCATAAGGGGCCCAGTGAGAGTCAGGAAGAAATCATGCCTTTCGATGGCCGCTCAGATGCGTCCGAGTTTGCTGTTGGTTCATCAGGAGTGCAACATCTTAATCAATAGTTCTATAATTATGGAGCCTCGTATGTATAATACCACTGTAGGCTGACGACATGGTTGTTGCGAAATGCAGCCCTGATCATGCCATCAATAAAAGCATTGTCGACCTGATGCTATGATCCTCACGAAAAGGCCCAACTTCAATCATGCAGTGAAGAACAACTCACTTGTCCGAAGACCCATTTTCTCCGGCCTATTTTGAAAAGGACCGGCGCTGGGCCACCTCGTTTCAGAAAATGATGCTTTGAAGCGTCAGCGCCAATCAACACCGCCGCTCAACACTGGGCGCTTTGGTGAAGAAGCATTGCTTTGTCGCGCGCCAATTCATCCAGTAGAGCACCAACCATCTCAAATCATGCAGGCCAGTTTGAGACATGTTGAATCTAAGGAGCTTCATTGTGTTTCTGTTGCCTTGGATTCACAGTGCCAATGGCATTTGCCGGCCATGGTGCTCCGGCCCAACAAAAGGACCGCATTGTTTAAAAGTCCTTTTACTTCCTTGCATTGTCTAGAGCGACCCTTTTCCTATATTCTTTTTGTCGTTCTTTCAAGCCTATCCTTCGTTATTCCCGCTAAGATGTGTTATTGTCTGCTCTGAACTGACTTCATTTAATTGCCACTTGCCATGCCGATTTGATCTAGGAATAATCTCGTCGCATCCTCTCTTTAATCTTTAGATCGGCATACTACTGTGCCGTTCAACTCCTAGAATTTCAGCTTGCAAGATGCATTTCATATATACTACTCTCGTTATTCATTTGATTGCCTCGCTTTGCTCGGCAGGTCCAATTGATCATTCTCGTTTAATCCTAAAGAAAGGGCATCATGAGCCAGAAGTTAAATCTTCATTTGTAATAGACACTTCCACAGTCGTTTCCTACCGTCCACAAGATACTTCTGCCACGTCTAGCGGCAGTAGCTTTTTCAGTACTATGGCCAGCACATTCTCCACCGTGGTACAGAGTCTACAGACAGAGTCAAGCTCTAGTGCTGTGCTTCATCATTCCACTGCTGACGATGAGGAGGATGACGGCCACGAGAGTCATTCGGCATTTGGCCCTACGACAACACTTACATCGTCACACATGGCCGCGAGGAGCTCGTCGGCACCTGCTACACATACAACAAATACCCTCACTCATGGTTATAGCGCCCCCCGTGCCTCCACGTCCAAGATACCAGATACAACACATTCAACATCCTTGCTCGCAGACACATACTCTCAAGTTGCTGTCGTGCGTGCCAGCTCCGCCGCTGTTGTATCGAGTGAGATAGCTGAGCCTACGGTCACGACGACTACAGTCACATCAACGATCTTTACACAGCCCAGCTCCACAGCCATTCCCTCAGGGACACCATCATCACACTCATCTGGCCTATTTGGAGTCAGTTCATCTACTTGGAAGACTACAATATCTACATCACATCTGCTCCCAGTATCAGCAACTTCTATAAGCCCCTCTACAGGTTTCTCATGGAGAGCGACCCCTACGTCTACGCTAGATCAGTCTTCTACAATAAAACGGACATCATCACATCTCTTCCACGGTTCCACAGCAGCCACGGACAGTAGGTATACAGTGTCATCTAGTCCTACCGTTGGCGTGATCCGCACTTTACCAGGATCCGGTTCTTCTGGCGCATCTACCGGAGCGCATCAGAGTCCAACGGCGACTGCATCGCAGTCCGATCATACCAGTGTTCATTCGACCTCGGGCACAGTCAGCAACAACCATACACCCAACACATGGACCGTACAACCCACAGCCGCGGCCCCTCACACGGATTCAATATCTCATTCCCAAACTGCCACAAGTACATCAATCACACAATCATCTTCCACCGGTCTACCCACTACCAAGAGTCCCGCAGCACCGGATGTAACAGGAACGGTCGTCTCAGGAACTGGAATTGTGATAATCATCCCGGGGGTATCTACAAGTCGGAACATAACAATCCCGCTGAGTCCTGACGATAACATTCCCTCAACGGCAACAGTATCAATGTCGACAAATTTACCCCATGTAACAACATCAGTTACACAGAATACCACTCCTGCCAATAGCCCTCATGCCATGGGGTTGGTAACGATCATCCATCCCACCAGTACTGAGACCAAAGTTGTCACCGTTATGCCGACAACAACCGAGCAAACTCAGCGGCCGACTCCTACTACCTCTGTCTCTGTTCTAAGTGAGGCAAGCTCAAAACCAGCTGCACAGGCTACCGGTAGTAAGAAGGCTCCGGCTCCAACATCGGACATCCCCGATAATGGAAGTTCTTTGGTTGTGAATCCTATTTCGCCAGTGTTTCTTACCGTGACGGAGACAAAGACTGTGACTGAGAAGACTACTGAGACAAAAACCGTTATGATGACAGTGACGGCTACTGTTGATTGATGAAATTCCCCTTCCCTCTCTCTCTCTCTCTCTCTCTCACACACACACACACACACACACACACATTCCTATATCTCTATAATATGCTCATTGTCTTTCAAAATTGTATACAATATATTCATTTAGATAGTCAGAAATAAGCTAACCCCTAATACAATCCAATCTAAACCCCAACTCCGAAAAAGAAAAAAAGAAATCTAAACCCTCAAATTTCTCAAAATTATCACAAAGCATCCCCACCCTCAACCAACCCGCAACTTCAGCGAACTCTCCTCCCCCTTTCTCACCATCAATCAATCAATCAATCAATCAATCATAATTCTATTAACTTGTTAGAGCCTAATTATTGAAGCGTCTAGATTTGCAGGCGTACCCACCTCCTCCCGGGATGAGCTACACTTCGCCAAACTGCCGATATGTCTCATGCCGATAGCCCCTGGGTTAACGGTGCCGAGAATGTCATCGCTGTTTCCGTATAGTTGGGCTGTGTCGATTTGATGGATGTTTTCTTGGGTCGAGTGGAGGTGAGAGAGGGTTACTTGTTGTGGCGTTGAGAAGAGGCCGTCGTCTCTGATTATGCTGCCGCCGCCGAAGATGAGTTTGGGGAGGCTGGTGTTCATTTTGGATTTTGGTGGTTGTTTCTTGATTTTCGGATGAAGGGTGGTGGTTTATTATTCGGTTTTTATAAATGGACTGTAGGTGTTATAGGGCTTGAGACTTGGTTTCCTAACGTCATATACTGAGTTATTATACCAATCCGGTGACTAGAGGCCTGGGTTGAGTCTTCCGGTAGTTACTTTTGCTTGATGTGGTGGGGTTAATCTCTAATATAAATGATTGTTTTCGTGAATGTGGCTTGAAGGATTAATTGCTGATCTGTAGATGATGGTGGAATGTTACGCCTTTGTATGGCGCTGTGTAGCTTCCTGTATCTTACTCCGAGTTTACTACACCTACACATTGGCATTTTAGACATAATCAGTAAGACACGGATATCTGTGCTTGAGCTGATGTCTTTTTCTAGTATGTTCTGGGCCCCCTGGCAAGTGAAGTCATTTTTGTTTTCGCAGTTATCGAAGATACGCTCCAGTGTAGTGAGTAGAACATGCAGATGGATATCTATGACATTGACGCCAGCCCAAGAAAATATACATCAGACCCTCATCAGTAACTCCAGCCGGTCCGTTAGACTCGCCCGTACGCCATCCCAGGTGTATACAACCAGAGAAGAACACACACACACACACACACATATATATATATATACAAAATGAAGACAACACCATCAGATCATAGTTCTGAAAGCCATCCTCCTGTGGCTGCAAACCTTGCCTGATACTCCTTGACACTGGCCCACTTGCGTAGTTCCTCCTCGTCGCGGTCTATATCACTGAGATAGCTCATTGAGCGGCCGGTTGTCTGTGGGCTAGCTGCAGCCATTGACGGGCTCGGAACTGACATTCCCTCCAGACGCATGAGGGTATCGATGAAGGCATGGAGGTAAGACTCCGCCTCAGCCACGGTCAGCGGGTGCGGCCCCGCTGTCAAAGCGGTGGAATCAGCCGGTTCCTTATTAGGGTTGGGAAGATTAAGAAGCGTAGAGGCGACCTGGCGGACTTTGGCGGTCTATAGATGTCACTGTTAGTACCGACTTGTTATAGGGAACGCGAAAGGATAACATACAAAGCTAAGCCCGTTTGGCTCCATGTTGACTTCGTTGATAGATCGTATCAAAACCAACATATCACGAATCACAACTCGACGCTCTTCCGCCATGGTGGCCCCGATATGATCCGATTGCGCGTCAGCATCAGCCTCAAGCGTGTTGGGCTGGTCTTCTTCGACCTTGACCGGCGATGGACTCGTATGGGTCGCTTGTTCGGCCCGCTTCCGGTATACCTTCCAAGCGGCATACAGTGCCCAGTACTTCTCAACCAGATAAGACCGAGTCCCTAGCTGGCTTGCGTAAATGTTTGCCTTCTGAATCTCGTATTGGATTTGTCGCCTTTCAAAGGAGTTTAGATCCTCTAAGGGGCTCGGGCCAGGACCCTGACCCGATACCGACCCTTGTAGTGAGTACTCTCTTGGTACGTCAGCGACGGCGGATTTAGCTTTCTGTAGGCTTTCCCAGACAGCAGCCCTTTGCCGTTCCCAGTCAAAAGGCTGGCCACTACCAAATGCAACTTCCCAAGCTGACACTTGGTTGTACGAGTTATAAATACGGACATTAAGATTAAACCCCACCAGGCGGGAAACTCTGTCTGCCGGTTGAGATTCAACATGAGTCGAAAAGATAAACTCATCATCTATTTCGAGGGGTAAGGGAGGATACCGCTCGGTCGGAGTTTCTGGAGGAATATGAAAAGTAGAGTCAGTTGACCCCATCTGCTGCAACGTTCGGTACCCAACTAAGACAGCATAGAACAAGCGCCGCCCGAGTTCCTGTTCGATGATATCGAGCTGGCCATCTCCTGACTGACCAGGTTGGTCCTGTGATAGGCGCGATGAAAAGGAGCCTGGGCTCGGTGGACTCATCGTCCGAATTCGGGTACTATGGCCGCATAGATCATACACATGCAGTATTGTCAAACATTCGGACAGATATGAGCGGCATGTCCGCATATTGTACATATAGCCGGCACAAATAGACAGAAAATAGCCGATAGCTGCATCGTAGATTGTCAAGCTCCGTTCGAGATATCCCGCACCTCTCGCTTGGACAGCCACGTCCCGACATCTCTTAACCAATGCCATGGAGTGCGGGTACGCTGCCTTTTCGGCTGCAGTCTTTAAATGAAGCTTTGGCCTTCGTGGGAACGAGGTCACCAGAGTCCCAATCATAGAGGCCGCCAGGGCCAGGAAGGTACGGTTGGTAACATCCTCTCTTCGATCAAGGGCAGCTCGGAATGTCGGTTCATGAGGGACGGGTATTAACGGGTGAATGTAGGTGAAGTAATCATCGATCAAAAGTCGTATAGTAGATAATGGACATATCAATTCCAAGGAGAAAACTGCCGGTGGCGGAAAAGGCTGACTGTTCAAGAGCCCTGTCGATTCTGGAGATGCATGATCAGATGGGGTGGGAGAGCCAACGGGTGATGCCGTGAGCTTCTGTCGTTTAAGCGCTTCTGCATGACGATTGGGAGGACCACGGCGCCTGCTTGGTCGCTCATAAGTACAGGGGATATCCAAGCTTGCGCACGACCGACAGGGCGGCCCGCTTGTATCACACTGGTTGGTGTCCGTTAGATAGGTCTCCGTGCGAGAGGGTACCACATTTGATACTCACTTTCACCTTTCGAATACTGCAGGCATCACAAGCCTTGCGCAGCCGGGTTCTCTGGTCCATGGGTATAGGGGTGAGATAGAGACCGTTTCCATGCTTGGGTTGAATCCATGGGCCTAGGGCATTGGGCTTTATACCAAGATACCAGTCTTTGGCATTCTCTGAGCGCGGCAGATTGGGATTTGTGATGTCTTGCCCGGATTGATACCCCAGAAGGTGATCTCCAGGGAGATTGGATGATCGGACGAGATCTGCACAGACGTTCGTCGGGTGATGTACAAATTAAGCAGTCATGCCTCGGAGATTAGACAGGAAAAGGCTTAATGGCTAGACTCTTAAGCCTCAAAAATGGTCGCATTTTCTGGATGGTGCTTGGGAATCCCGGTGCCTAATAAATGAATCAAGCCGGTAAGTCCCTCACCGATGGTGGTGGAGCCAAGAAATGCTTGGCTCGCGCACTCCCCCTCCGAAAGTGGGCATAAACCCGTTGTGCTGAAAAGAAGTTTATAGCCACGGCCGATCTAACAGTAGTAAGGATTGATGGGACTCTCCAGAGTCTCCACGAACAAATGTCGAGCTTCCGAGGCGGTCACGTGCATCCGCAGGACATCCGCCGCCGGCATTTGGTCAAGACTCCAGACGAATGAGCGATCGAACCACACAATAGTTGGCTCTGGACCCTCCCCACCTTAGGGTTTCTTATCTGCAAAGAAAAAATTAACGGATGGGGTGATTCTGGAGCCAAGCTTGAGCACTGACTGGCTGAATCAGTCGATGGGAATGTCAACAAAGTTTACTATCCTCGACTTAGCTGCGTTAGCATGCTCAGGGGTTCCGGTCCGCCACCTCTCAAGTCACCGAATCCAAGAAAAAAAGGTGGTGGATCATCGGTGGGGACTGAACGCTCCCTTGAAAACCCCTCAATCTCGTACTCTAAATGGGAGTACGGTAATAGTCTAGAGTACAGACTATGAAGCTAAAGACCCAAACTAGATGACAAATACTTAGTCGGTCTTCTGTCCAAATCAGGTAACAGCTTATATATGCGTCTGACCCGGTATGGCGAACAGAAAAAGAAAAGGCAAGACAAGATGAAACATCTAGAACAAAAAAGAAAAGAAACAATTATAGCCAAAACAGGTTTATATCGTATCGCCGTCATGATACTCGTCCACTTCATCACGTCTCGCTCTTCCTATCAGATCGCGCTTGTTCTCTAGATCCACGGCCCAGAGTGCTGAACCAACAGCAGTCGACATCAAGAAAAACATAGACAAGGGCGGGACCAACTGAAGGATCAGAGCAACCGTTCCAAACCTGGAGTGACCATGGTTAGCAAGCCCCAGTGGATCAGCAAGGCCGAACGACACTCACGTAGTATACTGCAACTGGCGACGGCGGATTTTCTCTTTTCTCTGCTGCTTTGAAAGATCTAACAGTTGGAAGTAGCGCCAGTGGTGAAACGGACCCGCTCGATAGCCAGTGAGCAGAAGAAACATGGGCGTCCCGGCCACAGGAATAAAGTTTAGAGGGAGGAGGACAACAAACTCCACGATCTGTCGCAGGGAGAATGGTGCATAGACGGCACTATGGATCGGCTTGCCCAACCGTTTGACGACATCGTCGCCTTGCGGATATAGGACCCGCGAAGTGGTGACCAGTTCCCCGTGTCCCTCATTCACTAGGACGGCATCGAAGATATCCACCAGGGTTTCATCAACAAAGAATGCCTCGAAGAGTGCGGCCACGATTGCAGCACCTTCTCCCAAGACCAGGACCGCTCCATTGACCCAAGCACCACGGCCTTGGAAGACAGAAAGAAAAGCGACCTGGGGTAAGTAGGTAAAGAGGAACAAAAGCACGTAGATAAAAGCCGAAAGCAAAACGATCGGAATTAGACGAGTCTTGAACAAGGGCCAAAGGAAGCGATGCGACGCAAAATAATACACACCCTAAATAGTTGCGTCAGTTATCACGACAGAGTATACCTAGGCAGCAAACATTGCACTGACGCGAAGAGGATACAGCCAAGCAGCTCTGCTAGGATCCAGTGATCGGGCCATAGCGACAAGCCAAGGCAAAGCGCACGCTAAAAGAAAACCACGCTGGGATCTATTATACTAAAACTAAGTAGATGTATGCATACGCTGGCAAAAGTGATAAGTTACATCGTCGAGAGAGATGATTTCATGGATATCTTGCGGCTATGGGCCAAATATCCGAGGCACATGATCTTATCGATAAGCCGGGCGGTCAGGGCCACAACTATAAATTGAGATTTTTTCATCGCCTCGCGAATTTTCTTTCTTCTTCCAAATTAAACTGAACACACCTCCCTATTCACTCTGAGGTTCACAACACCATGGGCCCTTGGAGGGGAAATGGGAGGTTAGAGTAACTGGCTGCCTTACCCCAAATTCTTCTTCTTTTTGTGGAGCGTTTGGAAATATTTACAGCGTACACCCTTAATTTTGGCGTCGCCTGGTGTAGATTGGCTAATAACCACAACCACCGAGTTAACCCGTACGGTCTTGAATGACATGTAGTATTTCATCCAAACTATTGACAATCGCCGTCGGCTCCAGGCCCGGCAGCGCTCTGTCCGCCCATCCTTTCCCGGATCGGTCAATCCAAATGACTCTCATGCCCACGTGGAGCGCCCCTATTATGTCGAAAGGATTGGAGCTGATCACCCAGATGTCTTTCATTTCTGGCACGCACTTTCCCACTCTTTGGGCCAAATACCTGTAGACCTCCGGTGCAGGCTTAAATTTTCGAACGTCGTCGACGCTAACAAGGTCTCTAAATGTCTCTCTATGGTGCGACAGTGGGCCTGACTGAAGGATGGACTTGGATACCATATTCGAAGTACCATTAGTGAAGATAATAGGCATCACATTCTGAGCCCTTGCCAGCTGATCCAACGCCGGTTCCACGTCGGGGAACGCGGCCATGTTGTCATGCATCAGAAGCAGCTTTTTGATTTCGTCGTCCCCTACTGACGTCCCCGTATCACGCAAAGCATGGATAAGCGCATTATGTGTGACTTCTTCAAAGGATATGTATCGACCTAGCGACAAAAGAATAAGCCGAGGCTGAAGACTAACACACTAACACAGCTCACCCATGCTATTCAATCGCCACGTATACTCTAGCTGGTAGCGCCTCCACAATGTTGCAATTGACTGGGCACGCTCCTTGTCATATTCGACATACTGTTCCAGGTCCCCTGCTATGGATCCGGGCGATAGTAGGGTACCGTAAATATCGAAGGCAACGACAGTTGTTTGAGCCATCATGAACGCCAGGGTGGATATTCTAGGCTAAAGGATTCCTCGCGCTAATTTCAGCGTTTAATTAAATATCTGGAGTTCTGTTTGAGGATGAAACAGAATAGACCTGCGACACCGGTTTCAGTTTTTAACCCCGCGGAGAATGTGAAGGATGACGGATGATGTCAACCGAAACTCCAAATCCAAATGCCTCCGGGCTCCATGCCGAAACCCTCACTCCCCGGGATTTCCCTAGTTCAACTAGGAAGGTTTCGCGCAGTCCAGTCTCAGCACGATGTTCAGGGAACAGTGGGGACATAAGTGAATGAAGGGGACAGGAGAGGGGTGACCCTCAGGACACGCTAAAATTGACCATGTCGATGAAATTGACACGCACAAGAAGCTCTCCAGTGAGTTCAGTCCCATATCGCTAGGTCGTAGACGAAGCTAGAAAAAAAAATCAAAAAGAAATGTCAGCTACCTAGCACTTCGAGGAATTCGAGTCTATCGGCTTAGCCACTTGACCAAACTGCCTTGTACTGGAAATTGTAAGCAACTGTTTGCACTGGTTTTGCAAGCCACATGACTATGGGATCTATGTTACCAAAGTTTTTGAAATCGGGTTACCTACAATAATATCATCTTGTTAAATTACTAGATATGAGGAAAATATATATGTGCAAGAGGGATATCTAAGGGATTTGAGCTAATTGAGGCCTTCGATCCCTCTTGTGACATTTCTCAAGGCATTCCGAGATATATATATCTTAAGTACGGGCTACACCCCTCTGCCCTGCGAGTTTCATGTCCTGAAAGTTCCATAGTCATTACAAGAAGGCAGAACAATGTTATACCCATGAGAATACCAACAACCCTCACGAGTCTAAAGTATCCGTTTTGATATTTGAACCTGCTCGGCAGCATAGACCAGCTCCACAGGCCATACGCCGCAGTCGGACTTGAGACATAAAGTCTTGCTACTATAGCAGTATAATGGTATATCTGGCAGCAGTCATTAGATAGTCGCGTGTTAGCAGACACCGCTGCGATAGCAGTGAGGGGTCTATAGCCTCAACGATATATAAGTACTACCGTGGAAATGTTCTAATATCACTAGGACCACAATATACGCTAAGTGAAAGACTACTACTGGACGCAGGGCCATCAAATAAGCCGACTTGCTTCATAACAGCCGGGAAGTCCCGGTACTCAAGGAAGCTACAATATAGCCTATGCATCATCAGTGGATCCCCGAGGAGAGGCCTTCTATATGTTCTTTACTGCAAGGGTGCTCTGTGGATCTTCGCGGAAACTTTCTAAATAGTGCCTGTGTGGGCTATAGCGTCGTGCATTGACGTTAGGGATACCTGTGCCTCAGATACATCACATAGAAATAACTAACTAGCAAGCAAATAGAGCCCGAAAACACTTGGGTATAGATTCCGCTCTCATTCGCACAGTGGACAAGACAACCCCGGGCGTAAGGAATAGGTACTCAATATGCTCTATCACAATCGCATAGCGAACGAAAAACGAGGACCAACGTTGATGAGTAGCTAATGCTAAACTAGGCTGTCGAGCTTTGAGGATACTATTTCAAGTTAACCATTGAAAAGGGATACGTACGGAGTACATCCACACTGCACATTCAAGTTACTAACGTCTCCTCACACATCCCAACTAACATACTCCTTTTTCCTTCCTTTTGTCCGTTTGTTCTAAAAACAGTACAATTTAATTGAAGGTACACAACAAACCCAAAAAGCAGAGCTCGATTCACCTCGAGGTAATCAGAAAATAAGTTTCTACGAGGTGAACGTTGGACCTCGGTCCCTTCCTAAAGGAGATACCGGTCCCGAACCCTAAACTGGGTCTGCAACGTAAAATCCCAAACAATATACTTAGTAGCAAGTGGATCGACGCCGCATTTGTAACGTTTACCAAGGCATCGAAGCTATTGGGCAATAGCCACTATTAGCCAGTGCCTGAATTCGGAACAGTTTTCCTGTTGTGGAGATGGCGGCCGATCTTTTACGTGGTGGGTTTCTTTTTTCTAGCGTGTTCCTGACAATTGATCAATGACTCGGAGGTTCGGATAACGTATAGAACGTATACAAGAGGGTCTATGGGTTCTTGCTGTTCTCGGGGATTGGGGCTGCGGTTCGTATTGGGAAGGGTTGGTGGATCTGGGTCGAGACTATTTGTTGCGTTTAAGTCTGGTTACGGCACGGGATTGTACTAATTCGATGGAGACGATCTCTGTTCCGTATTCATTTCCGTGATGGGAAAGAGACACGGGTCTGGTGCATGTGTAGTTTATTAAGGTGCCAATTTAACATTACTATACATAAATTTGATTTTGTTGAGAGATCTATGTAGACCACTGCGTCATATATTGTACATGAGAACTGAATCTCCGTGAAGAATAATATCCCGCAGCTTTTGCTGCCACCCTTTATATCAATCAAATACACCGGCCCAGATGCAATTAAACATGAAAGTCCCACATTGGACAGAAGAGAAGAGTCGATCCGCAGACAGAACGCCAATAGCAATACAGTAACCAGAAGATCATAAGAACGGTGGAAATAAATAGCCTGCGGATGGATGGATGGAGCGGAGAAAAATCATAGGTATCTCTTCTCGTAGATCTCTTCATAGCACTGAACATGGTCGCCGACAGCAAAGCTAGTCCAGCCTTCAAAGCCGATACCGCATTCTGTGTCCTTACGCATTTCAGTCACGTCCTTCTTGACGTTCTTGAGGGAATTGATAGAGCCTATAAGTACAAGATCAGCTTCCAACTCGCTGAAACAGAATTTTACCCAGTCAAATGGGACGCGGAACTTACCATCAAAGATTGTTTCCTGGCCCCTTATTACACGTACTTTCCTGGCCTTGCTAATTATGCCATTGCGTACCTTACATCCGGCAATGGCTGTCTTCTCTCTTCCCTTGAGTGTGATCTCGAATATCTGTCCGATCTCCGCTTCTCCAGTGACACGGTGACTCACAGATGGAGGTAGCTGTTCGCTTAAGATTGCTTTGACATCATCAATGAGTTTGTAGATAACGTTATGATCCATGATTTTGACCCCGCGATTTTCTGCCATACGAGACATGGCAGGGTCGATGGGCATATTAAATGAGACAATATGTCCGTTGGCTGAAGCTGCATGCTCAATATCGAACTCACTGATTGGTCCGACCTCGGAACGGAGCACATTAGCGAAGACTTCGTTGTTGCCAATCGCAGTGACTGAGTTCAAGACAGCCTCTGCGGATCCGCCAACGTCTGCTTTGATGACAAAATGTACTGGTTTAGGGCCAGATGTCTCCTGGATAGAGCCAGCAGCTTCACTGCCCTCGGATTCTTCCTGTCGGCGCCTCTCGAGTAGTTCACGCCGTGCCTCATTGATCGCCACGGTATCCTGGCCCAATTTCTGGGTCTCAGTTTTCTCCAGTCGATAATCTACGACGTCTTTGGCTTGCTGCTCGTCAACAGCCTCAAGAAGCTCAGTCCCAGCTGACGGTTGTTCCCTCCAGCCGTCAACCTCGACTGGCATGCCAGGGGTAGCTTCGGAGATTGCGACGCCCGCCTCATTCCTGAGAGTGCGCACACGAGCCCAGGTTGTGCCCGCGACAATGATATCTCCCGGCCGTAGTGTACCACGTCTGATGAGCACCGTCGCCACACGGCCGTAGCTTTTGGTTGTGCCCTCAATCACCCATCCCTCAGCTTTGCCGTTGACCTCCGCTCGATGGTCGAGAACCTCTGAAAGCGTGACGATGGCTTCTTCGAGTTCTAACATGCCCTGGCCAGTTTTACCACTCACTCCAATCGCTTGGACATCGCCGCCGTAGTCTTCGACGTGTACACCGTGAATAGAAAGATCCTGTTTGACTTTCTCAAGATTGATATTTTCCTTGTCAATCTTACTGATAGCGACAATAATAGGAACCCTGGCTTCAGTGGCGTGTTTAATTGCCTCGATTGTCTGAGGTTTAACGCTATCATCTGCCGCGATTACGAGGACTACAATGTCAGTGACGTCTGCACCACGGCGACGCATATCCAGGAACGCAGCGTGACCAGGAGTGTCTAAGAACGTGATGGTCTTCCCAGAGGGCATAGCCACGGAAAATGCACCGATGTGTTGTGTAATGCCTCCGTGTTCTGATGCGGCCACCGACGAGTTTCGAAGCCAATCCAAAATAGTGGTTTTCCCATGATCAACGTGTCCCATAATAGTCACCACCGGAGGTCTGGAAGGTAAAATGGACTTGTCTTCAGGCTCGGCCGCAGCTGTCAGATCCTCGTCCTCTGCAGTTTCGAAAATAGGCTCGAAATTGTATTCAGCTGCGACAAGACCGGCGGTCTCCGCGTCGAGAACGTGGCTGTATGTGACGCCCTCAAAGCCCATATCTTCCATTTGTTGAACAAATTGCGCAGGCCGCACCCCGATGACATCAGCAAGATTGCTAACGCTGATGAACTCCGGCAAATACAGTGGAATTGAAGCCGACTCTAACTCTTTCTGCCGAGCCTTTTCTTTCTTCAGGCGTTTGCGTTCCTCACGGCGACGGCGACGGTCATCTTCTTCCTCGTCTTCCTCATCAGCCTCGGACTGCCGCTCCTTACGGCTATCCCGGCGTTTTGAGGGCTTTTCAGAATGAGTGACATCGCCGTCATCATTTAATTTAAGGGATGACGAATCCCAGGACCATGGGTCTACTGGAGCATCTGCCTTCTTTGGCTTGGGTTTGGACTGTCGCTCACGGCGACGTTCGGCAATCCTTTCTTCTCGGGCTTTCGCCTCTTCCTCTTCGTTTTTGAGATCGTACACAAGGCGCGCTCCCACTGGCTTTCCTTTAGTAGCCATAAATGACCTAACGGCATTTTCCCGTCTAGTCACTGCTGCGGAACCACCCTGTTCTTGATCCATATCGGACAGTATCTCATGACCCAGCCTCCGAATTTTGAGGGTTTCTTCTGAAGCTCCAGCTTTGCGTGTTTCAGCCTTGCGGGTTCTCTCCATTTTCCGCGCTGGGTTATTGGATGGCCACGACGGCCATGCCAAATCTGGTCGGACAGCTTTACAGCACGGGCAAGTCTGATGCTTCCCAAAACAGTTGTATTGACAGTCCGGGCAGATCCAATCCGAAGCACGCAGACTTCTCGGTACATGTTTGGTATTCACCTCTAAAGTTTTATCAGGCTGCAGTGATCGGCTCTCTCCATTGTCGAAAGGATGTCGCCTGTTCTGTCGCCTTGAGGGTCTGTTCCAATCGGCCCGCGATTCCGCTCTACGCTGTGATCCACGTAGTTCTTTTTCTTGCAGTCGTCGTTTCTCTTGTTCTTCCGCGGCCTTCTTCGCTAGTAAGGAATCTCGCATCGCTTGTTCTGCTGGGCTGAGACCGGCCGGCTTCTGTGCCTGTCTGGTTCCCCAACGAGCCCCGAATTTCGGCTTTGTAGCCGCAACATTGGAACCTGCTTCTGCGCTACCTGCATTGGACGGAGAGGATTCGGACGAGTTGAAGGCTAAGAGGGACGAGCGAAAGCTCCGCCGAGGAAGGTATGGTAATCTTGGAGAGAAAGGAACATCTCTGTGCCTGGCGGCGCAAGTCCACTCAACACCATGACGGCGGGATAACTGTAGAAGAATATAATCAGAGATTTGCTCCAGGATGCGGACTGCGGAATCTAATCGACTGTTTGGGAAATGCTCACCTCCAAAGCCGCATGCCGGTGCATAATGGAGAGACAAGGCGTGGGTTGTCTTGTCACTGGTTTCCCTCGGGGCAAAATTCCGGCCGGTAAGGGAAAGTCTCTCGTAGCTCAGCACAAACTCCGTAATACTTTCCCGCCCGCCTCACGTGCATCGGCGTCTCCGCCGAATCGGAGACTCGCATTTCTCATTGCTTCGCGCCATCGTTTATTCTGATAAGCACATCGGGGGACCTTTTTTTTTTTATATTCTACGTCCTCCTTGCTCCATTGATCCTTTCCTCTCCTCTCAACTCCTTTCCGCTGTTTAAGCTGTGCCCCCAATCGCCCCCCGGTTAACTAATTACCAAATCATCGCCAATATGGAAGAGAGGGCACTCGAGGACTTTGAGAAGAGCGACGGAGCCCTGCGCACTATCAAAGATTTGGGTGCTGGTGCAGCTGGTGGAATTGCTCAGGTTCTTCTTGGTACGTTGTTGAAGCCGTGTCAGTTTTACAGGGTTGAGATACCCTTAGTCATTGCAATTTGGTTTGTTACGTGTAGAATTATAGTTTTTTGTAGTTTCACGGGAACATTTATATTTCATGCAGCGTGCTTCTTTTCAACCTGTTTTCTTCGGTGTTCTGTGGAATGGTGTGGATGATGAGTTGCTAATCTTCGCATAGGACAACCCTTCGGTATGTACTATAGCCGGTGAGATAGTGGAGCAATCTAATCCCCGCAGATATTGTCAAAGTGCGGTTGCAAACAACCACTCAGTATGCCGGCGCCCTCGACTGTGCCAGCAAGATTCTCAAGAATGAGGGTCCCGCCGCGTTCTACAAGGGAACACTAACCCCCTTGATTGGAATTGGTGCTTGTGTAAGTGCTGCAATAGCCATTATCTTTATCGAGAGCCGTTATTCTCGATCCGATTCGGAGAGGCTAGGGGCTGACTCTAACAGGTCAGTGTGCAATTTGGTGCTTTCCACGAAGCCCGGAGGCGCCTGGAGGAATTGAACAAGAAGAAATATGCCGATAGTAGCCTATCTTACGGCCAATATTACATGGCTGGTGGTTTCGCGGGTCTCACCAACTCCGTTCTGTCCGGGCCCATTGAGCATATCCGTATTCGCATGCAGACCCAGCCGCACGGCGCAGACCGGTTATACAATGGCCCTATCGACTGCATCCGTAAGCTCTCTGCTCAGGGAGGCGTCCTGCGGGGCCTCTATCGTGGTCAGAACGTCACCTATCTCCGTGAGATCCAGGCCTATGGTATGTGGTTCTTGACCTTTGAATTCTTGATGAACCAGGATGCCAAGCGCAACAATGTCAAGCGTGAGGATATCTCTAGTCTCAAGGTCGCCACATACGGTGGATTGGCAGGTGAGGCGCTTTGGTTGAGCAGCTACCCATTCGACGTGGTGAAGAGTAAGATGCAATGCGATGGCTTCGGGGCTCAACAACAGTTCAAGAGCATGACAGACTGCTTCAAGAAGACCTATGCTGCTGAGGGTCTCGCTGGCTTCTGGAAGGGCATTGGTCCCACCCTGCTGAGAGCTATGCCTGTGTCGGCTGGAACGTTCGTCGTGTATGTTCAGGTCCCTTGATTGAAAACCTCTCATGTGGAAGATGCTAACAATCGGACTTTAGTGTCGAGCTTGCCATGAAGGCAATGGGTTAAATTAACTGCCCCAAAATTGACCCCATTGTTTATTCACGTTATATTTTTGTTTCCTTCCACGAATTATTGATATCCAATTTTCGTTCATATTCAACAATGAGGGAAAAGCTATTAGATTTTCTTCTTTAACACGCACAGTTGGGAGTGGCTTGTTTTGGTCATCCGGTTTTAGCATTCAGGTGATAGATGGCTCAATTTATGGATATGATGTCCTCATGCGTTTTTCGTTTTCTCTTACCCGGGTCCACGATACTGCTGGCTCTTACGTTGTACGAAAAAATGACATTAGTAATAACGTGGGAAACTTGTTCCCGTATGGGAGGTTCTCTGGGGACTTGCACCCAACAGCTACTTTGTAAACTTGATCGAAAGCTCGAGAAAATGCACAAATTGTAATACCAATCAATTGAATACTGAGCGAATGAGCCGTCCAAGTTTCTACCAGATGATCAGTATCAGAAAGAGGATATGTTTATGTGTTTCCCGTCTCAAATTCAAGAGCCTACAGTAATAATATGGGGTACTCCGGAGATTGGAACATAAATTTCGAAACGGGTATAGCTCCGTTCCTTAATGCCTCAGGCACCAGGTTCGCCAAGCCCGACATCAAAAGTTCGAGCGGAAAGATAACCCAGGAAGTTATTGCTGGTGGAAATCGGCTTCACAACCTAGCACAGCACAATATGATTGCCCGGCAACTGTGTATGCGGCAGAGTAAGTTTGACTACTAATTGATCATATCAATTCTCTTCGAAGAAAGGACGTCCACTAATTGTTCTCCGGCCCAGGCCGCCAACTTCATTCCTTCAGCCGCCAGGCTCGGACTCTGAACTCGCTCAACCGATTTTACTCAACTGAACCACCAGTCGACACCACACTTCAGACCCGTATTAAGGAGCGATCTGCTGAGATCGAGTCCCGCTATCAAAACGATGCTGTTCCCGAGAGAATCTCAAGGAGGCGCGCCGAGCAGTTGGCCTGGAAGGCGCGAGGCGAGCGAAGTAAGCCTTCGCAATTTTACAATTCACAAGGGCAGCCGTCCTTGAAGAATATCAACTAACTGCATGCTTCTTTTCACAGGATACAAATTCCAAGACCTTGGCAGCAGCGTGACAGACGCGTACAAACCAGAGGATATCATCCGGAACCCTCCTAAGCCTTCCGACGTTACCCTCGAACTGCTCCTCGCTTCTCAGACACACCTCGGACACTCGACATCCCGCTGGAACCCTCAGAACTCGCGCTATATCTTTGGTATTCGAGACGGTGTCCATGTCATCTCCCTGGACGTGACCGCAGCGTACCTGCGTCGTGCGGCCAAGGTGGTAGAGGAAGTCGCAGCTCGTGGCGGATTGATCCTCTTCGTCGGCACACGGAAAGGCCAAAAGAGATACGTGGTCCGCGCCGCAGAACTGGCCAAGGGCTACCACATCTTCGAGCGATGGATTCCCGGCAGTCTGACCAACGGACAGCAGATCCTGGGCCACTGCGACACCAAGGTCGTGAATGCTATGGATAATGAAATTCCCAAGTTCAGGGAAGCCTTGGCTGACCGCTCGGTCCTCAAACCTGACCTGGTGGTCTGTCTGAACCCTCTCGAGAACGTCGTCTTGCTCCACGAATGTGGTCTCAACAACGTCCCTACCATCGGTGTCATTGACACGGATGCTGATCCTACCCGCGTCACATACCCCATCCCCTCCAACGACGACAGCATGCGTGCCATCGGTGTCATCGCCGGTGTCCTGGGACGGGCAGGAGAAGCCGGTCAACAAAGGAGATTAGAGAACGCAAAGAACGGAGTCCTAACCTACCCGCCCCTCAATCCCGAACACCTCCTCTCCCCCGAACGTCTCGCCGAACTCGCCCAAATTGAAGCGGCAAACGCCGCTGCCAACGCTGAGACAGCCGAACTCGCCAACAAGGTCGACGACGCCGTTAAGTCCATTGAAACCGAACAGGCTTCAATCCCCAAGGAAAGCTCGCAGCCCGCCGAACCCCAACCAGAACAGCCTAAGACGCAGGCCCAGGCCCCGGAAACCCCCGTTAAAGACCAGTAATGAAGAGCGTTTCGTTAGGCGTTACTCTCTTCCTCCTGTCTTAATTTCTTTTTTCCAACCTTATCTCTGCTTACGTGTGAGCCTTGAAGCAAACTTATGGGACTGTAACTGTATAGAACATTGTAAATTCCTTGATTCGCCTGGTGTTATAACAAACATGTATTACCAATATGACGCATTTCCTGCCTCTTTTCTCTACCATATCGAGTTATAACTAAGTACCGTTTGTTTGTTTGTTTTTTTGAAACAACTATATTACTCTTATTTCTGGAAGTTACTAGTATCTAGAACCTTAGCACATATAAGACATGCATAATAAATGCAAATAAGATAATCAAGGTCGCATATTTCAAGCAATGTTGGCAATTGAGGTAGCTATCTCCAGTGACCTAGGTAACGTACCAACCAATACATCCAGTACACATAGAAAGAACAAAACGCACAACATAAGATAGAAAACACCCAAACCCGAGCATGTCGATCACTGTGGAAAAGTATCCCGAAGCGAAGCAAACTATTGGGCCTTGGTGCATTAGACTGGAACGTTAATATAGGGTCATGGCGGCATGGCCACGACGATGGGAGAACCCCGCTTCAATGAGGTGGCCTTAAGTTTTCGTCAGAGGATGCGGGATAGAGAGATTACGGAATACACAAGAAGAACTTGGGAAATAATGGCCTATCGTTGCGTTCTGGAATCGCACAGAGGTAGTACAAATCACTCAATTGGTGGTTTGTTAGCTGCTTGGAGCAGTGGATGAGGTGACAGTTGCATGTAGTCTGGGTTGGTTAATAGTCCCGAGTGGGTGGGTTTTATCATATTCAATACGATGGGGATCATTTCTAGAATGGGATGTGTTTCATCTTGAATGTTTACTTTGTTGAAGAGCTGGACGCTTATATCCACTTCGATTCAAGTAGATAATAGTCTAATTCAAAATAGCAATGGTTATGATTGTAAAAAAAAAGGAAAAAAGCCAGTGAACAACGCGTCTCATCATAAGTGAGCTAATAAGCCCACAGGCGGCAACAAACTGAATAGAAAACAAATAAAGTATATCCCCAGAACATGTCCATGTGAAGCAAGGCAGAGACAGAAAAACGTAAAGAGAATCGTGCGAACCCGGCCAGCCGAACGAGATAAAGTCGAAAGGAGCTAGTTCATGTATCGCGAAAAGGGATCATCGTGGAAAAGCGAGGTGACAATGATTGATTTACCGCTTGTTGAAGAAGCTGCCAAGCTGGTCCATCATAGGGTTGCCGCCGGATCCACCCTGAGAGGGGGGGGGGCCGCCATATTGGCTGCCACCGTAGCCGCCATACTCTTGCTGCTGCTCCTGCTCCTTCTTGTCCTTATGCTGCTTCCAGCCGTCCTGCGCGATGTGACCCAAGATCGCTCCACCAACTGCACCGAGGAATCCGTGATCAGCCTTGTGGCCAGCGAAGCCACCGGCAAGACCACCGGCAAGAGCACCGCCGAGGCCACGTTCACCGTCCTGAGCACCGCCGGGAGCCTGTTCACCGGGTCTGTGAGAAGAGAAGTTAGTTGATTGGTCCAGTAGTGTAAAGGAAGATGCTGGTGAGGATACATACCCTTCGTAGCCACCCTGCTGACCATATCCTTGCTGCTGGCCATAGTGCTGCTGACCACCGTAGGATTGCTGGTGGTGCTCGGGCTGTCCGCCGCCGCCATAGTAGTCGTTGGCGGCGCCGGAGCCGGAGCTAGCGCTACGGTTGTATCCCTGATCGTATCCAGAAGACTGTCCGTAGCCCTGCTGCTGGTAGCCGCCCTGAGGGGGGTAGCCACCCTGCTGACCGTAGCCGCCCTGCTGGCCGTAGTAGCCGCCCTGCTGGTTGTTGTACTGATCGTAGCCAGACATGATGTGTAGTGTAGAGTTGATATGTGAAAGATGAAGGAAGTTTGAATGGATGAAGAGTGATGGATGGGTATGGAATTAAGACCGAGAGAACGGGGCTGTTAGGACCTTTTTATAAGGAGGTGGGTTGGCCACTTGATAGGATGATCTATTAAGAGCACAGGGCTGAGTTGCTGATGACAAGAGGGAAAGACCCCACCATGAGCCCAAGGCGAATCTCCCCCGTGTGCCAAGCCCCAATGTTTCCACTTGTTCCCAGCGCCCAATAATACCGGTTTCGGTTTCGGTACGGGTACTGTCAACTGCAAGGCTGTTGTGTGTGTGTGTGTGTTGTGTGGCAGTGGCGTCTGCCCGTCAACTTGTCACTCCACACAATGACCAACCTTACACTGTCACTATGCTCTAGTGTGTCATTAAGGTAATTCGACGGGCTTCCAAGACAGATTCACATCAAGCGCGCGGGGTGGCTGTGCCACTGTCACCTGTGGCCATGTGTGCGTCCCGTGCTTACAGGGCTGAGTAATGCATCGGTATCATGATGACCATCTCAGTATGGAGTTATGCCCCGCCAAACTTCCAACGATCGTCACAATGTTACCTTCATCTGGTAACTTTGAGAAAATTCGATGGGTGCCCCTCGTCTTACTCGGCTGGTTGCCTACGAACCCAAGGCTCTCGGCGGAGAAAAGAATGCCTCTTCGGGTCTAGTGATACAAAGCCGAGAGTGAGCAGAGTATCACTAGTGCGTGTTTGTTGCCATTTAACTGGTGCAGTTGATCCCACATACTCGACTCGGTAGTAATTCATTCATCAATAGCATGTAATCTGTACCATAGTATGTACTAATCCCCGCCGCCATACATACTAGTACAGTAGCACCTCACAGCCACACACTGCGGCTGTGCCCTATCAACAACTGCATGACGTCAATTCTTTATTTAATGCAGGATTCAAGGAGACTAGGACACACTATGATGATCTTATTATGATTGTAGTGTGAGAACAGAAGCTTCTATTCTCGGAACCTCGGAGTTCTTGAAAATTGACAACCATAACTTGCGGTCCGGGCTTGCCGAACCCCTCCGGTACAACTCGGGTGAGTGCATAGTAGAGGTATTATACACACATGCATACTGTACCAGGTAACACGGTAATACCGACGTTCCTAACAGGCAGCCATATTCTTTACGTTTCTCCCTGTTAGAACTTAGACGAGGTCGTTTACCGATTGTGGTATGAGTACGTACTGATAGTGGACAGTAGCTAATCTACCTGAGGGGCAAAGATGAACTATAATTGGATACTGTAAGCGCTACTCCGAAAATAGTTTCCAATATCCCGGGCCTCTCGGCCCTTAGCACCACCCAATTCAAAGAACAAGCAGCGACGATGAACACGAAGTTCAGGAACACGCTGCAAGTATAGCCTCATTGTGTTCGTCCCTGAGTTCTAGGCCCTCGGCTGCTTCCGGACTTAGCCACGGTCCCTGGTGTTTCTGAGAGTTCACTCGGGAGCCGCTAACTACATATGGCAGGCTTATGGTGGCTGGACCATTGGTGAACCAGCCATAGAGAATCACGTATGCCCCGAATAGAGACGTCTTGTACTAGTTTCGTCATCGGGCAAGATTTCAGCTGCTATCAACCAACGCGTGAGGCTCAGTTTCTATTTTGTTCTCGCATGTTTACTTACGGCTCATTAATACCACCCAAAACGGTGCCGCCTGTTGTCAGCTGGATATATATCCATATAGCACCCCGTACATTCCACATAGTTATATCACGTATGTTATGTAACTTGCTAAATGCCTTGAGCTATGTCGTCACCTGCATGTCCGGCTCATACCTAACTACCTTATCAACGAACCACCGTATCCCTTACGTCTTCAGAACTCTGAAATCAACATGGACTTTTTCCGAGAACCTCTTGACTGCTATCCACAAGTCTAGCGAGCAACACACCCATGGTGAGAATGCTACTTTGAGCAGGTGAATGCTGCCTGATGAGATAGTTCAATCTCCTTGCTCTCCTTGCACCGAACGTCAATCAACTTGACCCAGCAGCTACTCAATAGGGCTGACAACGGCGCTATGGAAGGGCCGTAGTACAAGTATTCCAGTAATGTGCAAGCAGTACGGTCATCTATTGTCCTCCTGGCTGGTATCGCCAATTTTCAAGAATTACAATCAAGACTTCGACTAACCGTAGTCGTTTCTATGTCTTGGTGTTTGATATGAGTGCTATGGGATGATGTGGGTATGATACCTACGTACTCACATTTGAACAATCGCAAGACCTCTGATCAATACCCAGAGATCCTAGTACGATGCTAGCTGTGTATATATGCCTAAGAGGCTGGAAAACCGTCCAGAGGACGTTTCTTGCATATACCTGTGGGGTAGTGACCGACACCATACATTGTACTGTATAACCTTGTCTCAATTAATTACCATAGCTCCAACAATCAAGATTATATTACAGATAGAATCTGATAAGCAAACAAGTTCTATGAAATCTGACAGCTCGTACTAACTAGACCTTCCGAAACATTCCTGGGGAATGTCCTGCTCAGAATTAGGGGTTGGATATGCGGGGGCTCTGTCCTAATTATTATTGGAATTCAAATCTCTTTGTCACCCAACCCAAGAGATGAGCCCTAATCATCCTACCATCATACTAACATAAGGTCTGAGCTTCCCACCATTACAAGATCTACATCCCACACGCGCGAACTGCGGGTCACCAGAGCACACACACGCAAGGGAAAGAAGAAGAAGAAAAAAAAAACATAGAGGCTTTCCCGCAATTTCACCACAGCTTACTCCATGAGTCGAAACACATTTTGAAACCCAACCATACACCAAAGATTCATCGCAAAAATAAATATCTCAAACTCAAAAGCAGACTTCTGGGTAAAAAAAACCCTCATCATGTGACTTCCGCAGCTGCATGGGCGATCAATAGACGGCAGTTTCGGATTGGCTCAGCGCCTGAAGGGTCATACTAACAGATCCATATGTGTTTACTTTTTGCGGGTCGCGCCTGACCTCCTAACAAACCACTGATACTAGCCGAATGTTTATTGAGGACCTATGACGAATGGCTTTTCAGCTCCCCTCATGGTGTTCATCGTGGTATCCACTAGATCGGATATAAAGCTGTCCATCTTAGGCAGATGACCCGATCATCACACCCCCTTGCGCCGAATGATGTAGGGCTATCGTGCGGCTGGCGGAGATAATTTTTCGGTATGGCATATTCGCGTGAAAATTTCTTTTTTCTTTTGTAGATATGGAATTTAAAAGAACTTGAGCTCACCTGAGCTGTTTTTTCCAATGCTTTGTGTGTTTTCTTTTTTTTTTTTTCGTTTTTTGTTCTTCTTTCTGTTCCCTGGTTAGGCCTATAGACTAGGTTAGCTGGCACAAAATGGCTACTACTCTTTATTTGCTTCTGCATTTTTTTCTTTTCTCGGCTTTACACGGTTTAACTTATGCCTCAACACCCCCAACAGTGTATCTCATCCGTCATGGCGAAAAGCCAGACGATCCACTAGATAGTGGACTAAACGCAGATGGCTGGAAACGAGCTGAATGCGTCCGGAGCGTGTTCGGAGAAGACTCTCCCTACGATATTGGCTATATAATGGCACCACATATTAGTAAAAGCAAGTATTCACTTGCAACTCTACCCGTCCCCTAGCTATGCACTACACAATATGCAAAGAACACAAATACCTGCCCATACACAGGATAACTAATCAATATAATAGAAGGAGAACACAGACGCTCTTACGAGACCGTCCACTCACTAGCAACAGACCTCGGTCTAACCGTCGACACCTCCTGCAAGCGGAACAAAGTCTACTGCGTGGCAGAAGCAGTCAGCGACTATGAGGGACCCGGCAATATCTTGATTTCCTGGCGACATGGAAAGATGAGAGAGTTGGTTCAGGCGTTGGGGTATGATGATCCGCCTGAATATCCTGAGGATCGGTATGTTAGTCTTGATATCCTGGATATTCCTCTTAATTTTGGTCTTGGGTGGTGGGAGAGCAGGAGTAAAGCGTTGATTATATGAGGAGTGTTCTTTATACTGACTGGGGCCTTCTTGCAGGTTTGATCTGATCTGGACCATTCCGTACCCGTATGACAATATCACGGACATCCGGAGTGAGGATTGTCCGGTGTTAGATGTGCCTGAGGATTTGACGGTTGAGCTCTAATAATTCATTGCGTGTTGTTACGCCTTTTATACCCATAAGCGATGTCATAGGTGGTTATATGCTACATGGCTGGAACCAGTAGCCTGGATTTAGATGCAGTACAGGAAATGGGTACAGGGTATGGGAAAGGCTTTTCCTAAATATATGTCACCACACCCTTTACTAGTTAAGGTGTGGAAGGTACAGCCGGGTGTTCTCGCTTTGGAGGCATATGCATCCTAAGACGGGATTGGATTGAATTTATAGCGGGATGCCAATTGCGTCATGGGTTTGTGTTGAACTAAGAGGTAGAATGTCTTTTTGCTCTCTTTTATCTCAGGAAGGAAGAGTTGGATCAATAATGTGTTTATTTTCGACCTATTGTTAGGCTGTCATGTATAACATAATAGAATTATGATATCTGGTGTAGGGCGGTCAATCAGATTGATATTAGAGTGAAGTACGGAGTACATTGTCTCATACGGAGAATTGCTGTAGTAGTAGGAGAACGTTTAGTGACAGACTAAAACATCTCTTTCATTGACCAATTCCGGCTTCAGCTCAGATTAGAACATTCTTATATATTAGCGAGAAGTTAAACTGAAATACGTGACAAAAATAAAGTTAGAATAATCGATATGATAAGTCAGCAAACCCACGATGTGGCAGGCGGTGAACAACCAGCAAAAAGCAAGCGGAGAAAAAGAACGCCAAGATTTCGAACCGCCCACCCAATTTTTTCAAGAGTATCGCGTCCATACTTCGAAAAAAACCCCCCTCAACTTCCAGGTGACTATCACCCAATCCTACATAATACCTGGAACGGAGCTATTGTGAATCTCCGATTCGAGTGGGAAAAATGGATGATATCGAGGTATGTGGGCTTGCTTCCCCTTGTTCGTCTATGATTCTTTATCATACCGGTCCCAGAATTGAAAATTGACGATCGGGAAATTTTTGGGCTCTACAGGAACGGTTGCGTAGCCACGCCCAGGCTTTTGATGGGCTCTTGTCGTTGATCCCGGCGAAATACTATTATGGGGAGGATGGTAGTGTATGTGATTCTACAGCCTGCTGTCTTTGATGCTTTTTGTCCCGTTTTCCCCACGGTCTCCGGCTTGTTCTGCGCCAAGCGTGGCTGACAACCCATATCCTTCATAGGACCAATGGCAACGCAAGAAGCAGACGAAAGAGGAAGCTCGTGAGGCGAAACGGGCGAAATTGGATCCCGATGCCGCGAAGACTGCTAAAGACGTGATGGAAGAGAACGCCCGGAAACGCAAGCGTCAAGAAGAGGGTCAAAATGAGACCGCATCATCTGAGGATGAAGACCTAGGCTCAGAAATGCCTAAGGAAGGCCTAAAGCGGGCTGATGCGGCAAAGAAACAGAAGCAATCCGAAGACCCGGCGAAGTCGGAAGAGGCGGAAGCTCGTAAGAAACTAAAGGAAGAGAAAAAGGCACAGAAGAAGGAGCAACAAAAAGAGAAGAGGAAGGCTAAAGAAGCCGCAAAGAAGGAAAAGCTGAAAGAAGAGCAAGAGAAAGAGGCTAAAACCCCTGTTGCTGATGCTGCACAGAAGCCAGAGTCAAAGCCTGCCAGTGATAAGAACAAGAAGCAAGAAAAGCCACCTGTAAAGGATGACGATAATGATGACGACGTTGATGAAGAAGAAACCGAAGGTCTCGCTCTCGAGTTTAACCCAGAGCAAACAGAACAGTCTTCCTCTTCTTCTACCCCCAACTCCCCTAGCTTCGATGCCTCCGCCCTTCAATCTGGCGCCTCTTCGATATCTTCTATTGTCCCACCTTCTGCTCCTAACGATGTCTCTAAGAACTCATCATCCGATCAAAAGCCCCTCAAGTCCACACCCGAAGAGCTGAAGCAACGACTACAAAAGCGCCTTGATGAGCTCCGCGCAGCTCGTCACGCAGACGGGCTGAACGGCAAGCCCGCCAGAAACCGCCAAGAGCTGATTGAGGCCCGTAGACAGAAGGCAGAACAACGCAAGGCGCACAAGAAAGAGCTACGACAGAAAGCCAAGGAGGAAGAGCAACGGTTGAAGGACGAGGCATTGGCCCGCCGCTTCTCCCCAGGTGGCTCGGGCTCTCTTCTTGCCTCGCCACGCTCCCCAGCTGAGTCGGTGGGCTCCAGTGCCGCCAATTATTCCTTCGGCCGTGTCGTTTTCGCCGACGGCCAGGCTGCTGATCCCAGCCTGAACAATGTGCGCGATCAACCTAAGCGCCATGGTCCCCATGACCCCGCTTCAGCCCTGAAAGCAGTTGAGGCCAAGAAGGCCCGACTGGAAAACATGGACGACGAGAAGCGTGCTGAGCTCGAAGAGAAAGACATGTGGCTGAACGCTAAGAAGCGCGCTCATGGTGAACGAGTCCGGGATGATACTTCACTGCTGAAGAAGGCTCTTAAGCGCAAGGAATCCGCTAAGAAGAAGTCCGAGCGTGAATGGAAGGAGCGCATAGAGACCGTCCGCAAGGGCAAGGAAATGAAGCAACAAAAGCGCGAAGACAATCTTCGGAAACGCCGCGAAGAAAAGGGCAACAAGGGCAACAAGGGCAAGAAACCCGCCGCAGGCAAGAAAAAAGCTAGACCCGGCTTCGAGGGAAGCTTCAAGGGCAAATCCGGTGGAAAGAAATGAACAGTGACTAGTATGTAATACCAACTTATGTATCTAAAAAGAAAGATATCCTTCCGCAGCAGCCCTTGATGATGAGCACTTGCTCTGCGGAGAACAAAAGTGACCAAAAGCTAAAAGAAAATCGAGGAGTGTGGGAACTGGTGTTTGGGCTTCTTTGGGGGGTTATCTTGTTATTTGTGCATATGTGCATAGGCAGCGATTCACCTGTTGATATTCATAAATTTCAAAGGAGTTTTCTTGGTTTTATCTCATCTCTTTTGTCGGATCCTTAAAGATTTGAAACAAAGGAAAATAAAGTATTCTCGGATTTATTCCCTAACAAAAACAGTATAGAAAACAAGAACAAGCCATGCGGGATTTCCCTCCAACATCAAGACAATAAAAGAACAGAGCCGGAGTTCTAGTGACTGGGATCCCCTGCGAACCCGACTAGTACATCTGGTAATAAAGCAGGCTAAGCGTTAGATATGTACAAAGTGGGAAGATGAGGGTGTCGACCCTTGGATATCCTCTGAAGGAAAAGTTTTGTCTTTCCCTTATCTGATTTTTATGATAGTATTCTTTTGAACCCATCTTCTAAAGTGGATTTACGTGATGTGACACCTGATTCAAGAGTGCCCTTGGGATATGAAAGCAGCCGGTATTGTTTTAACGGTAGGGGGCGTCAGCTCTGGCAGCGGCAGCAATTTCAGGCTCCCACTTGTCACCGTTGGCCAGGAGCTTCTCCTTGTTGTACAGCAGCTCCTCACGGGTCTCGGTAGCATATTCAGCATTAGAAGCTGTGTCGCAGCATGTCAGTTACGGTATTCGAGAGGTATAATCCTGGGATGGCTGATGCTTACTCTCAACAATGGCATCAACGGGGCAGCTCTCCTGGCAGTAACCACAGTAGATGCACTTGGTCATATCAATATCATAACGGGTCGTCCGACGGCTTCCGTCCTCACGCTCCTCGGCCTCGATGGTGATAGCCTGAGCAGGGCAGATAGCTTCGCAAAGCTTGCAAGCAATGCAACGCTCCTCACCGGTAGGGTAGCGGCGCAGGGCGTGTTCGCCACGGAAACGAGGAGAAATAGGACCTTTCTCGAAGGGGTAGAAGATAGTGTAACTGGGTTATGATATCACATCAGTTAAGCTATTCGACCGATCGAGAATCCTAACTAGCTTGTCCCAACATGATTCCAGGATACACAGCAGATGTAGACGACCGTAAGGGATACCAATTGGTCCTAGGCATCTGGAAGGGCGTGATAATGCGCGGGAGAGTGCGACTTACGGTGGTCTGAAGAACTGCTCCAACACGACGTACATGCCGCGGAAAATCTCAGACATGAGGAAGTATTTGCTGGCCTTGTCCAAAGAGGACTCGGTGGTCTCGTCCCATTTCTTGGGGGGAGCCAGACGGAAACCAGATGGAGGGGGACCAGCTGGGGTAGCAGCCCGGCACACCGAGGAAGAGAAGTTTGCGGTTGAACCCAAGGGACGGAAAGAAGAGGTCAACAGAGAAGGCGTAGGCCGGCGGTAGGCGACCAGCCTCGCGACCGACTTCGAGGAGGCCATGGCGGGGGATGAGATAGCGGACTGGAGAAGGAGAATAGAGTGGTGAGGGGAATCAATTGGGGGGGGTCAAAGTGGGAACAGGACAACTGGGAGAGGTTCACGAAAGTCGCTTTTGGTGGTTTGCCGGCGGCTTAGGTCATTTCTTTCTGCCGCCCCGTGATTGGCCGGCCGCAGGTTTTTGCTTCCCCCGAGCCGCAACGCCAAAGCAGAACTTCAGAAACTCCATTCTCCAAAGTCATCTTTCCTACCACTCCCGACTCTACTTTCTCGTCACCACCGCTCGCCCTTTCTCTTTATACTTAATTCCCAGGCAATTGCGCCTTTCTTTCACTTCCTCTTCAACCGACATAATGTTCCGTTCCGCTGTTGTCCGCTCTTTGAGGGCCTCCGTGCCTCGTGCCGTCAGGGCCCCGGCTACCTTCCAGATCCGCAGCGCTCCTGCCGCTCAATTCGCTCCTCGTTTTGCCTACCAGGGCGTCCGTCTTTACTCCGCTCCTGCCGGTCTTGACAAGAACGAAGCTGAGGGTCGGATAGTCAACCTTCTGAAGAACTTTGACAAGGTAAGTCGGGTTACTTTCCCGCCTCGGAAACGAAGACCATCCCGGAATCATCTACGGGAAACTTGAACAATGGCTAATATATCTCATTACTGTACAGGTTTCCGATGCCAGCAAGGTTAGTTAACATTTATTGTCTCCGGGCGCTTGACGGACCAGTTCAGACTCGCCCACAGAACGGTGAACTAAGGGATTGAATTTATCAGATCAACGGCTCCTCCCACTTCGCAAACGACCTTGGACTTGACAGCTTGGATACCGTCGAGGTTGTTATGGCCATTGAGGAGGTATGGATATAGCATATTTACTATTATACTGGCCTTGAGTTGAATACTGATGTTTTCCCCTCGAATAGGAATTCAGCATTGAAATCCCTGACAAGGATGCCGATGCCATCCACAGTGGTAAGTCTTATCGGAATGAGGTCCTTTGATGGGCAGAATGCGGTGATTGTCCATATACTCATCTTTTGCTACAGTTGACAAGGCTGTTGAGTACATCCTTGCTCAGCCCGATGGTAAGTCATGTCTTGCTTCCACAATGCCAACGTGTATGAGTTATCCACGACTAACTGGTATCGCAGCCCACTAAATTATGTAATACGAAGATCTGAATGATTTTGCGGGTTAGATAGAAAACAAGGGGATGGTGGCGTGCATCTACATGGGGTCTCAGCGTGGAAACGCTACTTGTATGCTGATACATGCCGGTGTTGTTTCACCCTACTATATCGTGTATATCATCTTGAATGCAGTTTGATTGATTACTTCTGGGTGTGGGTTGCTACCGGGTCTCTTTATGGACCTCGTTATGCGCCAGTATTCTGATATCAACCGCCCTAGCATGTAGGATTAGTGTTATATGGTCGGTGGTGGAATTGACGCGGGTCTCAAGATGCATTGAACATGTTGTACATACCGCCCGCTTGAAATTAAGACGATTTAAGGGTGGATCTGAAACGGTGTTGCTTTGACGACCTTCACAGAGGATGACGTGGAGCGGAACAAGTCGATAAGAACAAAATAAAACACTAAGTGAAGAAATATATAAAAGGATAGGAAAGAAACCCTCTAGCGCAAAAGTCTTCTTTTTATGTGTCAAATAGTTTATTCAATGGTAGAACATTTGCGCGCGCGCACGAGAGAGAGAGAGTGCTTTCTATAGAGATTGGATTATGGGTCTCTTCCAGTTAGATAAATTATGACATGTTTTTTGTGGTCCGTCACCGGAGAAGCATTGACGCTACGGGAGGAACAAAAGTTGGAATGGGCATAACTTAATATCAATCGAGAATTTCTTTTAATTCCAAAACACCATCGGGGTTTCTATTCTGGTGTCTGTTTGGCGCAAGGGACTCCATCTGGTCAGCCTGAATTAATTCCCATCGATCGACCGTTTCGGGACAGTTCCAGTTGCACACTCTCCGCCTCGTGTCCTTCTTCCTCCTCCTTGACTTCTTCCTCCCACTCCTCCCACCCCTGACAATTTCCCGCTCAGCAAACTTTCGGGATATTCTTCCTTCACCCGTCAACCACGTTACCTTCAAAGAACTGGTAAACGGTCTATGTCGCAGGTCATAGCGGTATAGATTTCGGTTCCTGACATTCTTCCCGACCGTTCTTTCGCTCTCCTTTCCGCTCCCGAACTCCGATCCCCTATCTCCTCATGGCCTCAGCCGGGGGCTTGACTCGCCGAAGAGGTGGCGGTCGAGTCGCTGGCGCAGACGAGAACGATGACAGCAGAGTCTCCTCTCCGATCTCCAGAAATGGCTCTTCCTTGGATAACCGTATCCCCGAGACGTCTTTCACCAGTACCGAGAATGGTCACAAGATCGCATTTGACCCCAGAGACCTCAGCGAGACCGAGGAACGAAGCAAGCAGCCCAAGCTGACGCTGATGGAGGAAGTACTACTGCTGGGGTTGAAAGATAAACAGGTTGGTCTCGCGCCCTCATCTACCTCGTTTACGCAGGGGAATGGCGCGTTGCGATGCCCAATTTGAATGCTGACACCGGTTCGGGAAATCTATAGGGTTATCTGTCTTTTTGGAACGAGAACATTTCGTACGCCTTGAGAGGGTGTATTGTGATTGAATTGGCCCTCCGCGGCCGGATTAGCATGCAGAAGGATTCTTCTCGACGGCGCTTCCCCCTGGCCGATCGTGTGATCGAAGTCGTCGACGATACATTGACTGGGGAGGTCTTGCTGGACGAGGCGTTGAAGATGATGAAGTCGAGTGAGAAGATGAGCGTGAACTCCTGGATTGACCTCATGAGCGGTACGTACGACCCTATGCTCTCTATGCTCGATGATCGAAAATGCCCAGGGTACTAACGGGGAACGCATGGCAGGTGAAACATGGAATTTAATGAAGATTGGCTACCAGTTGAAGCAAGTGCGCGAACGTCTGGCGAAGGGTCTTGTCGACAAGGGCATTCTTCGTACCGAGAAACGCAACTTCCTCCTCTTTGACATGGCTACACATCCCGTCGCCGACGGCGGCGCGAAAGACGACCTCCACCGTCGGGTGCGCAATGTGTGCAGTAATCGAACAGTGATTCTCCCGTCCAACCAGTGGCTTCCTGAGGACTCCGAGTTCCGCTATCTGCGGACGATCACGATGGTATGCGCAGCTTACGCGGCGAATGTACTGGAAAACGCTCTGGTCACAATGAGCCACGAGGCTCGGGAGAGAGCCTTTGCGCAGGTGGATGAGCTACTGGCAGAGTATTCCCAGTGGCCATTTGCCCGGCGGGCAGGTGGCTCGCAGGCAATTGGGGCTAATTTGGCGGGGGCAATCAACGAGGAGGTGAACAAGGCCAAGGACAAAGAACTTCAGTTGGAGGTATGCTCGTTTTCCTTCTGCAGAATATTGATTTGCAACCACTAACGAAAACTTCACAGATTGTTGCAGCATGTTTGAGCGTTTTTACTAGACTCGATTCCCTACTTTAGGAGCTTTCATCTATCACCCTCCTATGTCCTTCCACCCTTTGCCTTCTCCGTCCATCTTACTTATTCCCCCAGATCCCTCTCCCAGAAAATTTTAGCAGGAGTTCTTCTTTTCCTTTGCTATTTTGGCTACTTAGCAGTAGTTTCCGGCATGCGGTTGGAATTGGGCGAAGTGACTTGATATGATTCAGCCGTCGAATACGGTCCAATGCATTATTCTACGAAATGTTCGATTTATCTGATCTCCATCGATCTGTTCTTGTCTGCTTGTTCATGTCTTTCTTTCCCGTGGACCACGTTAGCATTACCAGCATACCTTTTCCGCTCAGATGATAAGGGCATGTGTACTCCATAGAATCGCGCACGAAGCATACCTAGCCATCAACACAAGCCAAACTCATGGACAAAGAGAACCAGAAAAAGCACAAGAGAAAGGGAAAAACACAACCAACCATGCCATCATCTTTCACCAGACCCGCATTCTATATCCCGATTGATATAAAACCGAAGCCCAACTGGTTTGCGGCTCACGGGATTTGGAAAAGGGAAGAGCAACAGACAAAAGGGATAAAGTAGAAGGAGAATAGGCTGGAACAGTGTCTTCATGATTTCCCTTTTTTTTCCGTCCTGTTTCTTCATGTTTCTTTTACTTTTTTACCCTTCTTGTCTACGATCTTACTTTATTTACCGATTTTCGCCCATCTAATGAATCAATCAATTAACTTCTTTTCTTTATGATGTCTATTCATTGATGCCTGTTGTCTCTTATCTTTCTCTGATTTGAGGATCAGTGTCTTACTCCCTCTTTTACTGCCTACCTTTTCCCTTGTGTATACCAGGTTCATGGAAGGAAAGTATTGATTGTATCGTTCACTTGAGGCGTGTATGCTTGAACTTGCTTATTTTTCTTCTTCTTTCGTGTGTGTGGCTGTGGTTGGGGAACTGTTTTCTCTACGTTATGGTATGTCGTTATTAAATGTTAGTATTATTGATATAAATCATGTTTATCGTTTGTTTTCTCCGTCTCCGGTTATGTGTTTTTTTGTTGGAATAAGTCGTAGATTACGGTTAGAGTCTAGGCTACGATATATGAAGTTAACAGTGTAGCATTCTACATGAGAATCAGAAAATTTCAACTAAATGCCGCTCGATGCTATGAAATGACTGTACATACTGAATGTGACCAAACAAGTAAAAGAAACATACGAAAATATGAGACAGAGAAAGAACAGGGAGATTAAATATTCACCCGGAAGACCATCATCCCTCCTCTCCTGCCTCCACCAGCGCCAGCTGCCTCAGCCGCTAGGACATCCACTCCATGGGCCAGATCCACGATACTCTGGACCCGGCCACGGATGGAACCCTCTTCGACCAGTTCCGCAATGCGAGCTAGGGCTTTACCATCCGGTTTCAAAGCAACGAATCGGCTGAACAGGCCGTGTTTCTGGGTCTGGGCTTCCCTGTCAGCAGTTTGGGGCTGCACTGCTGTGTCGTCTACGGCGGTCAGGACGACACCGTTGTTTTTGACGACGTCGGATGAGTGGGCGAGGTTGAACATCTGTTCTCCGGCGCAGTCGAGGATGACGTCGACTGGATCCCATTTGTTCTTGCGGAAAATCTCGGCGAGGTCGAAGTCTTGTGGTAAGGGGAGCGCGGCGTCGATAACTTCGTCCACTTTGACATGATCGCGCAGAAAGTCGTCGTGTTCCGGGCATGAGCAGGTAGTGCAGATCCATGGTCGGTGGTGTGGAAATAGAGATCGAGCCCGAAGCAGTTGGAGCGCCTGGGCAGCGACTTCGTTATCACGGGCGTTAGTCACCAGAACGCGCAGCTTACGACGCGCGTCGCTGGGGTCGAGGCCCCCGTATGTGAACAAAGCCTGCCATGCCGTGAGAGCAGGTCCAGGGATGGTAGATGCCTCGGCGGCGCTGATGTTCTTCGGCTTCAACGCGATCTCATCTTCGGTTGCGACTATATAGTCTGCCGCGGCGCCGTCACGGGTGTTGCTAATGAGCCCAAAGACAGTGTCGGCGACTTTGAATTTTGGGCCATCTGGTTTATCGTGATCTTCGGTGGGAGTGCTGATGACTATGCCACAATAGTTGTGCAGGGGAATCTGAGGGATTGATTTCGACGGGTGGAGGCTTCGAGCGAGCCTTAGTCCGTCATGAGAGAAAGCCGCTGTTTGAATCTTGATGATGTACTGATTCGCTGCTGGCTTTGGTACTGGGAAGTCCGTGTCGAAGATAATCCCCGAATCCACCCTGGGCGCATCCAAAGCTGTCTGATCGGTGATGGCAGTAGAAGCCGGTCGGTGATATAGGGCTCTCATAGTCCTCGGGACGAACGTCTGCTCGTCCATTGTGGTAGAAAAGGGCTTTGCTGGCTTCATTATGGTTTAATGTATGGCATATGTGTGATACGGCGTCGGTGTGTGCTCTACTCTAGTAGATGAAGACTATAACCTCGGCCGGGGCAACGAGTATATAACCCGTCAACACAGACTTCGACCCTCAGTTGCAGTATTGTGCACCACAGAGCCGTCAAAAACGGCTATGACCGTCCCATGAAGTCAGTTTCGCAACTCTCTAATGAGAGGAGCTTGTTCGCTAGTAAAGTTCAGAGAGAGAGCTGTGGGGAAATCGCTGCAGATAATCTCATGTTGACGTAACGAGGGTCTCCTTCCGCTTATATCAGCAACCAACCTTTTTTATACGTCGCCGGAAGGTTGCAACACACCATGCAGGATAAACCTGTTATTGTTAATATATCCTTGCAGTTAACGCGTCTCGTGAGAGGAAGGCGTGGTAGTGTCAACGTTCAAATTACCCACGAAGTCGAACACTGTTTCAGGTTGTTCAAATACCTTCCATACTCGGTCGGGAACATCCTGAAAAGCTGCCTCGAACCTCTCTGGAGAATTTTGATCTTCTAGATGTGGGACATCAGTGACTTTCCTGATCCAAATAGCGCGGATCCAGTGCGGGTGCCTCTTATAAATTTCCGCGTATGCTTCCGGATCTTTTTGTGTTGAGTCGCCGATACAAATGACTTCTCGCTGAGGGAACTGGCGTCGAATTTTCTCGATTTGTTTTACCTTGTATTCCATGGTATTTACTGTGAATGACTTGACCAGTTCACTGACATCCAGCCATGAGGAATCTCTGAGAATCAGGGTCCCAGGATTGAAATGCGTATGAATAAACGTTCGCAAGAACGGATACAGGTTGTACGGCGAAGCAGATACATAGAACCATGCTGGCGCAAGTTCTCTGTGCATGTGAGAATACAGCTCGGGCATTCCAGCAATAGGCCTTGGCTCTTCGACAAAGGTTGTTCGAAGAATTCCAGTCGACTCGGAGGTTTTGGTATACTTGATCGTATCGTCGATGTCCGATATCACGAGCCAACCTTTCGGACCAGCGAAGTAGGTTCGCATTGCGACATTGCCTCTCGAGCCACGGAGATACGAGCGCACCATACTTCCATCTGCAATGCGACGGCCTCCCATATTCACCACCTGACTGCTGATGCCATTGCTGTTTGTGGGACCAAGTTGCTGGATGAGTGTAGTGCTATTCGGTTGAGGAATCTCGAGCATCATCAAATGTGCAGGCATAACGTGATATAGGAAAGGTTGTAACCGTCGCGCTATTTGATGACGTGTCTCCCTTTCAGTGCCTATTTCTCCGTCGAGGCCAATGAGATCCGCAATCATGGCAACGATCTTACTCATATCCTTCCGGCTGTCCCTTCGAAAAACGCAAGCCACGACTTCTGCGTGCCACGATTCCTTCTGCCCCTTAGCAACGGGGGTCGCGCGTAGATAAGCGGTATTATCGAACAACCACACGGTATGCTGCCGGATATCTACTGCTTGCAGCGAAGGCTGCTTCCATAGGAAGGAGGTCAGGGAGTATAGCAGCGAATCTCTCCTCCACGAGCGGTCTCCTAAGCGTTCGAGCTTCTGGATAACGGGGGGATGCTTTGTTTGAGCTTTTGTTGAAGCCATCCTGAGGTCGTTTAAAAAGATCTTTTGGCGTTAAAGTAAAGGAAGAGGTATAGCGTTCAACCGAGCGATGATAGTTTATGATTTAAGTGGCTCCAAAGTGATCTGTACTGAAAAAAACCGAAACAGAGACTATTAGTTCACAAGATAAGCCCGGAGTCAATTGTGGTAGTTTTCCACTGTCTATTCTTATATCACCCAGCACATTATGTGTAAGGCTGATAGTCCTCCTGATCTTCGCATAGACCTCATCGTATTGGTTCTGAGCCACGGGGCAGTGACCCTTCCCCGTTGGTTTGACAGCAAATTAATTTGAGTCATTATCATCAGGAACAGTCAGGCGAACTGACGGTCAGGGCGGGCTTTCTCTAGTGGGTAAAAGATTAGCTGTGACTGCGAATGAAAGAGGTCGTCTGTCGTATAGTCCAGCGAGTGATGGCTCGGCGCTTGGCGCCCGGTACAAACAAGTCAGCATTGGGTTGCTTGTGACCCTATCAGATTTCTCGGTTTTTCTCGGCGCCTGACCGTCTTAAGGCACAACTTTGAAGGTGATCGAACCAACGCCCGCGAAAGTCAAGTTTAGACGTAATGCTGCAGGAACGTGGGTCTTCAGTGACGCTGGCCAGTGAACAGTCGTCCTGCTACTATGTAGATGTTTCCCATCTGCCCCTTGCTTCTTGCCCCGCGAGTTCTGTTTGTTGTCATTTGGCAACACCGTCGTGTTGCAGGACGAAGAAGAGAAGATGTAGGCGGTGCAGATCATGGGAATCGAAGAGTTCGTCATCATTGTTCTGTCCCATTGGTCCGGCCTCGAAGGTACAGCCACCCAGCTTCTTGACCTATTGCCTTAGTAAGGCTGACGGACGACATTGAAGAGAAAAGAGACGGAAAAAAAATTGTAATGATATCTTTATGTAACTTTTATTTCATCAACTTCATATTTCATAAATCTGTACATTATATGGATTGCCCTTTTGCCAATACGCGGCTGTTTCTGCTTCCCTCAGAATCCCAAAAAGTGTTGGAAGAAAAGCAAGCAAGACACAAGACAAGATTGGGTAAGAAAACTACCACCTCTTAGGAGCACTAATCACCGTTCGAGAAAACGACGCACTGAGGGTGTCGTTCCCCTTTTTCCGGGTTGCAGCAATGATACCTGTCCGATCCGTCACCGGAGTCGCATCGATGATATTGTCAAACGCTTCGTCGTCACTCCCATCCGCAGACCCGGATTCGGCGTCGGAGTCTTCAACAGGCCCTGTATCTGGACGTGTGATCTTCTCAGGTTGTGGCTTGTCGGGAACAGTAGGATTCTGGAAAGACTTGGAGTTGAGAATTTTGCGGCGGATTTCGGCCATCTGCTCTTCTTCTTCGGAGTCATCTGAGATGGCGAAAGGGTCCTTTTCTTCTTCTGGCTCTTCCTCTTCATCATTCTTTTCTTTGTCTCCATCTTCACCATTTTTACTGCCCTTATCATCATCGGAATCAGAATCGTCTGCCCTCCGGTTCGTATTGCCTACTGTCCACATATCATCGGCACCTTCGACACGACTGTCTTCGTATTCTTTCTCAATCTTAGCCAGCCATTCTTCCTCGGTCCGTTTGACGTCTTCTTCTGTGGCGCATGCGGCATATCGTTTAAGGAGTTTCGAGTTGATATCGAGGAAAGCCTCGCCGTAACTGAAATGTTTAAGAACCTCTCTAGCCCAGTCTTCGTGGCCGCAAATACAGAAACAGGCCGCCAGGGCTTCGACACAGTTTAACCGCCATGGCCGTCCGTAGTTGACTGTGTTGGCTGCAACAAGATAGGGTACTGGATTTATCAGTATGTAAATCAACGAAGCCTATTAGACCAGCTTTGAAAGGCAACATACGAAGTCGTTCACATTTTCCTCCTATGCGGGAGAAAGGCACTTCCTTCAGCCTTACCCACGAACATTCCACTACTGCGGCGCCATATTGTTCTAGTATGTCTCGGTCCGCGGGAGAGATGATTTTCTTCGCATTCGGACTGTAGTCGTCTTGTTAATTTACTTGTAGTAGCAAGCAAACAGATGCGATATTTGATGACAGTAAGAGGTTACAAAGGATACAAGGAAAGAAAAAAAAAAGGTTTACGTACGAAACGACGACACCTGGATACTTTTGTCCAATACCTAGCTCTCGCATCAATCCCAGATGCATTAATCGCTTGCCCGAACATCGCTTTGGATCGCAGTGACCCAGATCCCAACAGGCTGCTTTGAAAGGAAGTCTGTCGGAGGACTCGCCATCGCCGCGGGGCACTGGGCGTGGGCGGGGTGTCGAGGAAAATTTCTTGCCTCCGCGGGAGTAATTGTCTTTCTTGTGTCGGACCATGATGTAAGGTATGCTAAAATAACAAATCCGGTATTCCTAATCCCTCGAATTCAGAAAAGAAGAGCTGTTATGCAGAGGGTAAGGGAGTGGTGAAATTGGTTCCTGAGGACTAGTATATGAGTAGTTCATGCCCATAGAAGGAAAAGACGGGGCAACTACGGTGACGGAAGCGCCAACACGTGGAGCTCAACCCAACTAGAGTTTATGTGACGCCGCGCCCGCAACTTGCTTGCTTTGGCCAGCATCTATCTTTCTTTCCCTATCACTTCGCCTTCTTTCCTTTGTCCCTGCCCCTGCGCCCCGGTCGGAAATTGTCCATAGGGGCTCTAATTCTCGTCCGTTACCTTTTCTGTCACCACCCTGGAAGCCGCATCAGCACGAATGGCAGCTAGGGACCGCTTTGGTGCCTACGCTGACCTAGGCCTAACTCCGCTGCAACGAGCTATTCGTATGTTACCAATCCACCCCCCCCCCGGCTGCTTTAGTAGCAAGAATATATTCTTAACTCATCTTGTGCGTATCCACTAGGTCATGCTTGCGATATCTCTCACTACGAACCCAACCTTGCCCTGAACCTCGAAGTCGCGGACTTGATCAACTCCAAGAAAGGCAATGCGTGAGTCGCAGTCGATCCAGTAGGATGGCGCATTCTTACGTTCTACAGTCCCCGTGAAGCAGCACTGGAGATTGTCCGTCTAATCAACTCCCGGAACCAAAATGTCTCCTTACTGGCGTTGGCTGTAGGTTTACCGATCTTCGGAGAAGCTAGTGCGGGGCTGACCTAGTATAGCTCCTCGACATCTGTGTCAAGAATTGCGGATACCCTTTCCACCTTCAAATCAGCACCAAGGAGTTTCTGAATGAGCTGGTCCGACGGTTTCCTGAGAGGCCGGCGTTGCGCCCCTCGAGAGTTCAACATCGCATTTTGGAGTCGATCGAGGAATGGAGGCAGACTATTTGTCAAACGTCGAGATACAAGGAGGATTTGGGACATATTCGGGACATGCACCGTCTCCTGCTCTATAAGGGCTACGTCTTCCCTGAAATTCGAAACGAGGATGCTGCAGTTTTGAACCCCAGTGACGTATGTCCTTCTATCGGGGCTAGTTTTAGGATGGCTAGCTGACATTCCCAGAATCTTCGCTCCGCTGAGGAGATGGAGGAAGAAGAGAGAGAGGCTCAGTCGGCGAAGCTCCAAGAATTAATTCGTCGAGGCACACCGGCAGATTTACAAGAAGCGAACCGATTGATGAAGGTGATGGCCGGATATGACAATCGACACAAAACCGACTACCGGGCTAAGGCGGCAGAGGAGGTCGCTAAAGTGCAACAGAAAGCCAAGATCCTGGAGGAGATGTTACAGAGCCAGCAGCCAGGAGAACGAATCGCAGAAGGAGATGTGTTCGAGGTAGGTTCATCACTGGTCGTGTGGGGGCGCCGCTAACCGTCGACCGCTTAGGAGCTTGCCAATGCTTTACAAAGTGCCCACCCTAAGATTCAGAAAATGTGCGAGGAGGAGTCCGACGATCCAGAGGCTGTTCACAAATTGTTGGAAATCAACGACAGCATACACCGCACCATCGAACGATACAAACTTGTCAAGAAGGGCGACCTGGAGGCTGCATCGAGGATTCCCAAGGGTACTCTAGGAACAACGACCGGTGTTTCGAAGAACGCGAACAATGAATTGTCCCTCATCGATTTCGATCCAGAACCGAGCTCAAACGGCAATGCCTCGCAACCGGCGGGCGGCAGTTCTCTCGAGAATGATCTACTTGGCCTCTCAATAGACGAGTCAGCCCCCACTGGAGGTATCTCCCTAGGACCTGGACCTGGACCTGGTGGGTAGTGTTTTCTAAGGAGCCTAGACCTGTTGCTGACTGAGTTTAGTGACCCCAGTGCCTTCTTCTACACCTCCCGTACAGCAGGCCCCTTCGGCATTCAAACCCAATTATGATATCCTGTCTTCGTTGAATTCATCCCGCCCTGCATCTCAATCATCTTCGCCTGCGCCCGCAGCGATGCGGCCACAGAGCACCACAGCTACCCCACCTCCGTCCGACCCTTTCGCCTCGCTGGTGTCTGCCAGCTCCCGACACCCAAGTCCGTTCCCTTCGGGAGTCTCCAGTCAACAGCCCGCATCGGCTGGGCCTTCCCTCCTCGATCTGGCAGGAGCCAGCCCGTCGCAGCCCCCAGCTGGTAACACGAAAGCGGCCGAGGAGGACGAGTGGGATTTCACGTCCTCTCTCCCAGAAAGTAACACTCTCCCAACCACGAATCGTGTGCAGGTGTTGAACTCGTCGTTGCGGGTGGAATTCGTGGCGCGGCGGCAACCCCAGCAGGCCCGACAGATTCACATGGTGGCCTTGTTTTCCAATGGCACCAATCAGCCACTAAGCGAGTTGCATTTCCAAGTTGCTGTGGAGAAGGTTAGTTCCCGTGGTGAATGTATAGAGTACAAAGTTCAGGGGCTAATGTAAGAACAGGCATATAATTTGCAGCTTCGGCCCCAATCAGGGCGGGATATTGCACCTCTCCAGGTGAACGGAGTCCAGCAGGAAATGTTGGTGAGTGGCGTGGAAGCGGGCAAGGGTAATTCGATTAAGATGCGGTTCAAGGTTTCTTACCGGGTGGGCAACGAACAAAAGGAGGAACAGGGAATGGTGCCTTCGTTGGGAATTGCTTAGAGAGAGAGAGAGAGAGAGTATATTGCGAGGTGATGTCGAACTTGGTTCGTTTCTCCGTTCTGTCGTGTTGTTCAGTTCTCCAGCCTGCATTCGTGTCTATACCTGACCAACTTTCTGATGCCATTTTGATGAGCGATATTTGGTGAATTGAGTTTGTGAGATTGATTGGGTCCTCTTGCAGCGTTATTCGAGTAGAAAAAGCAACTGATCCGTGAGTTGATATCTGATGCCTGTTTGGGAAAAAGTCGCCTTGGGTCAGGGGAGATGGACTCATACTCTCTACAGTATATCTTTGATTTATTTTACTTTTATTTTAGTTTATTTTATGTTATCTAGAAAGGTACATACATTTTCTTCCTTGGTTCTCCTCCATCCAGAGTTCAACGTGGAGGAGGACAGTGTAGGATGTTCAAGGCACGCGACGCCGTCTACCTGTGGTTGAGCAGCCTGAGATAAAAAAGCCCCTCACCCATATAGATAGACTTAGGGTACCTTTTTTTTTTTTTTTTTTCTTTCTTTAATGCACCATCGTTTCCCAGTCTCTTGCTTGTACGGGGTACAGTAAGTGCTGTCCATATACAGTAACACAAAAGGTCGTACAATCGGCGGAGTGGCGTCATCCGTGTGGCGTCCGGCCGAATACTAACCGAGTTAAGTAACGATAATCCTCCCCCTCCTCATAAAAAGTAATTATGTCTGAATGATATGATCTGATTCTCAGCGAACTATTGATGCTTGATGGCAAAAGGTGGGCTCGACCCATCTGTCGGGACTTTCCCCGACACTGACCAGTCGACCAGGAATTTCCTCTTTGGGGTGCGATGCGCGGTCATAGCGAGGAACCATAGTCCCAACTGCCTCAAGGTTTTCTTTCTCCTCTGGACAGGCTCAAAAGGTCGCCAAGAGAATATTATGGAAGATCATCCGGTCGCACAGCCATGGTAGTGGGATTTATTGAGGGGGTACCTGTGGTTTGCATCTCGTACCTTGACTTGTAGGTAGGTAATAACCGAGGACCAACGGAAGAAGGTGACAATTTTCTTGCCTTCATTCCTACGGTACTCTGTACTGAAACCTGGAAGGACTGTTTGTTAGGGTTCCTGCAGGTGCACGCGGCTTTCATGCAGTAGGCTAGCCCTAATCAAACATTAACTAAGAGTGCAACGTGACTCCCTTCCCACCTCAACTCAAGGGTCATAGTAAGTGACTGAAAAGAAAAAAAAAATAAATAAATAAATAAAAAATATTCTCTGATAAGCAATAGTGAGGCTATGAAATCCTTTTAGTGCGATGCTGTAAGGGATTCGTCATCCTCTTGTTCTTTGATTGAATCGGATCACTGACCGATTAGCAGTATCTTAGTGGCATCTCGTCAGCATCTCTAATTTGTCATGTCCCACGTAAACCCTCCCGCCGATCGAGATGGGTTCAACATGAAATTGCCCAATCTGGCCTCTGAGAGACCCGGACCCAGTCACATGGGGATCCTGGGACCTTTTCCCCATCGTGAGAGTGGGGGAAGGGAGATCACCGAGAGGCCCCGAAGTAAAATCGTTAGGCTAAGTAACTCAGGACAACTTCGCCGTCTGGCTCTGGGACAGATGGTCCGTGCGATCAATCACAGCGCCTTCTTGCCCATCCAACTTCACAAAGTTTACTGATAGGCTTGGTCTCTGGTTACGCTCTACCAATGGACATCCTATCCCCAGTTCTTAGGGCAGGCAAACCCCGGGTGGAAATTTCTTTCTTTCTTTTTTTTTTTTTTTTCCCTTTACAGCCGTTGACCAACAGGCCGTGGTGAAAAGCAAAGTCAATCTTGGGGGAGGCGCATACTTTTTTGGCTCATACTTTGCTTTTCCCCAGTTTACTGGGATGAAACTGGCGACCGTTGATGTGTCGGACAAATTGTGCCTACTACTGCAGGGGTTAACTGCCGAATCAAGGTGGGATTCGAGACTGGAGATGCTCCATAACATTGATAGAAGATCGACTGAGGGACTCTCATGTAGGGCGAACCTCCCCATTTGGTCTAGACTTTTGAACATGTTTCGAACTTCTCACTATAGTGTTACTTTAGCGTCTTTTTCCTTCTCGTGGGGAAGTAAAATTGAAATCAACGAAAAAAAAAACAAAAACAGCCAATATTGCTAGTGTAATGTAATTTGCCTCCTATCCTGGAAAATGGTTCCGGTACTGCGTAAATGCCCGCTTCGCTTCGAGTTTGTTTTGTACTTTCTCTTCACTTGCTGAAATTCCCAAAAGACCTCCTCTCGAGCGGAACCGACCCAAGGTTAAGCCTTCTACTACTGAGTACGCAGCGCCAACAGTGCGAAGAACTTTGGACGGAATAGGATCCACGGAACGGCCGGCAGCCAGACTTTGACCGGCCCTAGGTCGAGGATCCGAAGTTGAACCTGCTCCAAGAGAGTGGCTCGCCTAGGCCCCCTCTGGGTGCTAATGGATACTTGACAGCTGCGCTGCAAAAGTTAATAGGGGGATTTTTGTGGACGACCAAAAGCCCCCTCATCCACTACTACATATTTAAAATACTACTTCCTCAGATTACTTCCTCCCTCGTTGCCCCCCGCCTCGTTGCCAAATGAGATAGTCCTGTTTATACTTATATCATCGTACTTGCCTTCTTTTTTCCTTCCTCTCTCTCTCTCTTTCTGAATCCCCCGTGTACCTATACGTATATGTATATGAACTCCCTTCTCGATCCACCTTTCAATAGCCCGGGCATTCCAATCTTATCGCCGCAATGGCTTCTCCTGTTGAGTTTGAGATCTCACCAAACCCTCGTACTCGTGAGGAAAACCAAGAACGGTAGGTCTCTTTCCCTCTTCCCCTCCGCCCCCCAGGAAGGACTCGGCTAATGGGATCAGAGCATTCATTGCTGCCTCTCGGCGGAAAGATCGGAGCCTCGATGCCCGTCTAGAATCTGCCAACCGTGCGTCTCAGCTGCACAAGCAACGGACTGGCAAAGCTCTCCTGATTACCCGGGAAATTGTCGAAAAAGAGGCCATGTACGAAGAAGTAGATGACCGCTACAAGGAGAAACTACAACGCATGTTGGAAGCTCAGAACATGCAAATCAACAACCAATTCCAGCAAAACCTCCTCGCTACGTTGGCCATGCGACCCGGCCTGCAGCATCGTCGTGCCTCCATGATGGCGCAGCGCGGCCCCATGGACGGGGTCCGCAAAATGAGCTTGGACCTGTCGAGCATTCGCAGCTCCTTCTCCGAGGGCATGCGTGGGAGTCCGATCACCAGTCCTATGGCCATGACCGGCAACCAAAGCTACGTGATGTCGCCTTCGTACGAAGGAAACTCACATTCCCCATCCTCATTCCATCCTAACGTGGTGCCCGCCTCGTCGGGTCCAATGCCATCCTACATTGCTCATCATTCGACCCCCACATGGCCCGCACACATCGGCCCGCAGCACGTTCGATCGCCTTGGGCTGGGTTTAACCCTGGGGACATGAACATGCCAGTGCGCCAGTTCCGAGACCGTCTGGGTTCTGCACCGGTTATTCCCGTGCACGCGATCCCTTCCAGTGCCGCATACCGACCAACTCCCACTCCTCAACACAGTCGCAACCGCTCCGAACCAGGGCAAACGCCTTTCCAACGGATGCCGTCTCACACTCCCTCCGTCGAGAACACGCCGAGGGTGGAGACTCGCATCGACGGACTTCCCAGTGAAACCTTGCCAACTACCCTGCCGACTCCCGATCTCTGCCCCACCCCCAGCACGCCCCACTCGCCCACCTCCACGGCAAAACACAGTGACGTTGCCTTCGACACCCTAGACACCAAGGAATCAGACTGCGTCTCCTTCTCGCAGCCGTTCCTAGACCAGGACTTCGTCGACTTCCAGGGCCTCTCTTTCTCCTTGGGTAGTCACCCAACCATCCCCTCGTTCGACAACACCCTGCACCATCCGGAAACCGAATGGAAGCCGGACGAGGTGGTCCAAATGGACGACTGGCTCGTCGGTGCATGACCCTCGCATCCGCATGTCTTGTCTTTAAGCTAGTTGCGCTTTTTTTTTTTTTTTTTTTTTTTAACTCCTACATTTTCATTTTCCTTGTCTTGCTTCGATGATGATCCTTGCATTACTACACTGGTAGCTTTGGGGGCCTTTCATCCATTTTTTTCTTTTTTTCTTTTCTTGCTTTTAATTATTTTTACTCATCTACAGCTTTGTTTTCTTTTATGTGTCTAATAGTTGAAGTTGCGCTGGACCAGTCAGGGCAATACCCCGGGATGAATGGCGTTCCAATGGGCATGTACAATAATGAGAAATGAAAAACTTCATTCAAAACATATGAATCCTTCTAAGCTTTTTCCCTACAGTTTTGAAACATCTCCACCGAAGTGAAAAACTCAGGGAAAAAAAAAAAAAAAAAACCCTCCCCGGAATCTAAGAATTAAAAATAAAATAAACAGCTAAGAAACAGAAACAGGAACAACAAGGTTACAGCAAGCTCCACCCCCCGCCAAGAAAAACGCCGCAAACAGTCAAGCCAGCACACCGGGGCCAGGAATGTCACTTCAAAAAACATTTTAACTGTCACCGTACAAGCAAACTTAACCTAACTTTGCACTAGAATTTCTTTCCTTTAGACGGGATGTGTAACCACATGCCTGTGCCATTCCACTACCCAAAAACCAAGGTCTGAGGTCTATACCGAAAACAGCCAGATTTTCAGCAAGGTTTTGAGATTTCTTTCACTTGTTTGCTGTTGTTCTTCAGTTTACCCTTAGGTCTATTAATATTCCTTGTCTTACCGTAGTTTCTATCGGTAGTCAAGTTAGTTCTCCATTCATAACCTTGCTGAGTACAGTGTACTTAGGTACTCCGAAGGTAAGTTAGTAAAAAAAAAAAAAAAAAAAAACACTAAGTAAATAGTAATATGCAAGCCAAGTCAATGATCGAAATTAAACATCCCCGCACGCTAACATTCCCCTCATATTGACATATACAGAAGCATATAGAAACTAAAAGGCCTGAAACGCAACTAACCAACGCTAACCCAACACTAGTACTCCTCCGTAAGTAAGAAAAAAGGAAGAAGAACAAGAAGAATCCCAACCGATCGGAACCCTCACCCTACGCACAGACCACCACCATCAAGAAAAGAAAAAGAAAAAGCTCCTGTGGGTCCTCCTCTCGTTCTCTTCCGGAATAGGTTTAGCTTAACTTTGGACCCTCGTTCACAGTCCACTTTTTAATACCCCCACTTCCCAGGTTGGAGGGGGGAAATTCCTGTTTCGGGAATAGTGTCCTGAGTTCCCACTGAGTGGGAAAGTTTGTTCGTACGACGCCGCTGCTTGCTCATTGGGTTCCGGTTGTTTGGGGGGAGGAGGCGGTAGATGTGGTAAGGGGTTAGTAATTGGGCTAGATCGGTTTTTATCTTTTATTTTTTTTTTTTTTAACGTTATGGTGTGGCTGGCTGATTGTAGTTGGAATGGCGGGGGGTTTTTGGGTTTTAACTCCGTTGTTGCAGGTTTTGATGATAGGTTGCTATTCAATTGTTAATTGTCACCTGGGTTCGGATATGGCATTTTTGTTAATCATATCCGTACATGCATACATACTTACATAACTTAGTAGACGGAGTAAACGGAGTAAGGACTGCTATGTTCCCCGTTAATAAATTAGAATGCATTAGATTGGGATTCGGTTTGGGATTTGTGGTTTTAATTGGGAGTTATTTAAGTTGCCGTGATCCTCCGTGGATATTGGATTGGATATGCATGTCCGTTTTTCCTACATGTACTTTTTTTTTTTTTTTTTCAACTTACCTAGATAGCTTTGCTGATGCTTACTGGCTAGCTCGGTACGAAGTATATGATCCTGGGGTTAACTCTGAATTCTCTATAAAGTATACTCAAAGAGAGAAGTCAAGGAGCTCTCTTATCCACTTCTACCGGCATTTATGTATCTGGTTGGGATCGACGGTAACTCTTCCATACTTTTTTTTTTTTTCCCTTTACTTACTTTCTTTAGTCTCCACTGTAATCTCCTAAAAAAGCTAAGGTTAATAATCATTTACCCTTACCCCCGTCAACTCCACTAATAACTGGGTCAGTAGGTAGGTACGTAAGTAAGTAGGGTGGAAGTACCTCATAGTAACGTTAAGCAACAGAAGTCCCTGCACTTGCATCTCCACTTACTTGCCTCTACGACTAGTTACTCCCACTATGTTATACCTACCTACCTACTCACCTCATGAGTTCGCGTGTCCACTTACCTCTCTGGTAGGGACTGTAGTATGTATCTCTGTCCCTCAATTCCAAATTATGAAACTCCCTACATACCTACCGGTCGGTAAGCTAGGTAGGTATGTACTAGGTAACCAACAGATAGATAGCTATGGTAGGTAGTAGCTAAGCTAAGCTACTGCTCCATCCCATCCATAACCATCACCACTCCATCCAAGGATCGCAGCTAGAAAATAACCCTTCAACTTAACCCAAGCCCAAGCTGACCAAAAAAAAAAAAAAAAAGGAAAAAAAAAAGACCTCATCTAGACATTACGATCTGGGCCGGGATGCGTCCACAGCGAGGGGAGGAGTTTGGAGGGTTAATTTTCCGTAGTAGAAGATTGGATGTATTTGCCTGCGGGGTTGGAGATTGGGGTGTGATGAGGTTTTGGATGGAATAGTGTTCTGTGTTTATTGGAGGTACTTTTGTTTCCTTGGTACTGTACATACATACTGCTATATGTACTACTTTGGTTGTCTGCGGGGGGGTGATACTAAGGGAGCTTGCTCTGTTTCTACTGTGTGTTTTCATCGGCGTTTGCTTGGGATTTGATTTCTGTCGTGTAAGTAGTTTGTTTCAAGTTAAAAGAGGTCGATCTTTGCTGTCTACAGAGTAGTAGTTGTACTAATAGTAGAGGCTAGGCTAGTCCAGGCAAGAACTAATTTGAACAATTTAATCTCCAATAGGATATGATATAACTATACGGAATAATGAACCATCGTATTTCTTACCCCAATTTCCGAGGGCAATGGACTGATAACCCCGCAGACCAACACGAGTAGCAGCATGCGATCCCCATCTCAAAACAAAAAACACGAGAATGATAGAGGGGTAGGTCCCAAGAGGAGAAGGGTTAAAAA